CATACTCAGGATGTTCTGCTCAAAGATCATGTGATCATCTTACGCTCCACCTCCCTAGAGTGTCCAGAATTGCTCTGCGGGGTGGTCTCCAGTCAAGGAGCTTAAAGAATCAAACTCCCAGTCCAACTGCTGAGAAGGGAGCTGGGGAGGAGCCAGCACTCCTGACACTTGGTAGAATGTTAGGGACACCCCAAACTTCCCTCCACCCCCACTACCACCTCCAGCCCAGCTAGACAGGTCATCAGGTGGCCGATCCTAGAGCCCTCACTGGGGTGTCACGTCCCCTCCTCCGGAATCCCCATCACTGTCTCTCACATACACAGACTCCTGGGAGCCTACTGTTCCCACACTGTCCGGCAGAGGGAGCATCCTCCATGCTCATAAGAAGAGCAGGCCCCACTGTGACTTATGACAGCACGAGGCCTGCCAGTTTTGAGACTTACACAGGCAGGTGTGGCAGAGTCTCCAGGACTCACGGACCCACATTCCCACTCCCTCTCCATTCATTCACCACTGTGATCCTTGGTGGAATCGCAAAGCCTGTTTGGAGTGGGAAAGGAGACACTGAACACCCTAGTAGATGGCTCTGTGGAGCGTTTTGCTCCATCCTGAAGCAAATTATGGAGCATCAACAGGTGAGAAAGTGAGATGAAGGAAAGGATTGTTGTGAGTGAGGTAATATCACTATGGTGATCCAGTGGAACAGATACCTACCTACCTGGTGACTACACAAAATCAGTTCACTTTCTGAAGTTCATGAAATTGCTTTGTATAATTAATATACACATAGTCAGGAAGCCATGGTCTATGGACTAAATCAGACCTGTGGCCTGAGGAGGAGAGGAGGAGAAGGAGGAGGGGGAGGAAGAGGAGAAATAGGAGAAGGAAAGTCAGATGAAGCACACAAGGCTTAAAATATTTACTATGACTCTTTAAAGAAAATATTACTCCAGAACTAAGGATATAGCTCAGTGCTAGAGTGCTTGCCTAGCATGCTGGGTTCGATTCCCCAGCAACTCAAGAAAACAAAACGAAAAACTAAAAGTCTATTCCAGTTCCTGCTATTTATAGCAACAAACATTTGGTAAATTTATGTTTTAAAAAGTGGTTTTTTTTAATTAACGTACACCAGAAAAAGTAAAAATTTAACAAAATATATGCAGGATCCCTGTGAAAACTTCAACACACTTATGAAAGAAATCCAAGAAGATCCAAATAAATGCAGACATATACAATGCTCATGGATAAGAAAGCTCAATATTGTTAAGATGTTAATTCTTCTTAAATTAACCTATAGATTTAAAGAAAACTCAATCAAATTCCCATCAGGACCCTCAAGAGAAACAGACATGCTGATTATGTAATGTATGAAAATGCAAAGGTCATAAAGGAGCCAAGAATTATTTTAAAATAAAAATGGATGCAACTGGTGGAATGACAAGTGATAGAGCACCTGCCTAGAAAGCATAAGGCCCTGAGTTCAAACCCCAGTACTGCCAAATAAATAAATTAAAATGTCGAAGGATTCCCGTCATCCCTTTCAAGATATACTATAAAACTGCAGTAACCATGACAATGTGGTATTGGTCAAAAATTGGACAATTTAGCAACCATAAACACATTCCAACCCAGTGACTACGAAAATATTCGCTCAGCATCTTCCCAAGTAAAGAGCATACTCACAACACACCCAAAGAAGTCACACTCATGGCTTATCTGTCCCCTCTGATGGGTGCTAGGTAGGGAGGTAGGAAACCTGATGACCTTGGCTTGAATGTTGGTAAGGAATCAACATTCTAGATTTCTGATATTAACAGATTGACTTGCTACACACAGTATGATTTTACTGGCTTCCAAGCCTTGGAGCCCACAAAAATAACAGCCCTAGTCTGATTATCCAAGGCCATCCCTTCTCACCTTGTGAGAGGAGGGACGACACATAGTCCAGTTTTCCAGGACTGATCACCCCCATCTCTACAGACCCCAATAAAAACTTAACGTCTTGAGAGCTACAATGCAGTGCTCCTTCCTGAGTCTGCCCACCCTTCCGCTAAAGGGTGCGCTCTTGCTTTGATTTCACTTTTTAAAAAAAATATCATATTATTACTGAACCGGGGGTACATTGTGATATTTACAAAAGTGCTTACAATATATCTTAGTTAAATTCACTCCTTTCCATCATTCTCCTTTATCCCCCCGCTGCTTTCCCATTCTTTAGTTTCAACAAGTCTCAGTTTTTTCCATTTTCATACGAGTACACAATATTTCCACCATATTCACCTTGATCTCACTTTGCTTTGCATAAATGAACCCGCCCAACCCTCATAACAGCGTGGCACTCCCTGTGCTCAGCTGGCCCCTGCTCCTCTATGTCATAATAAACCTCTTGTTTCAACTACAATAAATTCTTTTACTGTCCCATGGCACCCAAATCCTCAACACCCGCTAAGATCTTTAGGTGATGTATAAGACATGGTGCTCCCCCTGAAGTTTTGAAGGGGGTATTATGGTCTGGAAATTTATAAAAGTCAAAGTCAATTATTACCCCTAATACTTCCAAGAGTGGATTAATTACTGGGTCATGCCATTTCAAATCTCACTTGAGCTGAAGGTGTGGCTCAAGGGGCAAAGCGCCATGAATTCAAATGCAGATAGTACCAAAAAACAAACAAAAAAATTAAAATCTTGTAAGAGGTGCTTACACTGCTTTTTCTGAAAAGCTCTGACTCCTTACTTGGGCCCATGAATTAACTAAAAGCAGGAGAAAAGTTTAGCATCCCTGTCTACATTTTGTATCTGTTTTTCTCTGAGCCATTCTCTCCTATAGTCAGTCACCTTGGGTTCTAGAAAGGACAGAGCTGATGGATACCATCTTTGCGACAAAGAACTGAAACTACCCCTAAGGAATGGTGGAAACCAGACCTTCAACCTCTTCCCCAATAAGGACAAATTACCTATAATAATGAGGCTGCATACCGAAGCAAAGGTAATCATCTCATGGAACCAGATCGCCCCCTCAAGTGAAGATAGCGAGAACTTCTGTAACCCCACAGAACCAGAACTGAGATAAAAATCAATCAGGCCACACTTTGACCAGGTCTGCTTGACTATACATTCCTTTCTCCTCCTGCCCCAATTTTTTGTCTATTTTCATCTGTAGCTCATGTCTGCACCCTGAAGATGGCTGTTGTGGTTACTTTGCCTCTTCCCATGGTATGACCCAGGCTGTGTGATAAATCTTTCTCTACCTTCACCAGGTCTCTTTATTTGTCATATACAGGCAAGTTACTGAACCTGGCATATGAAACCAAGAGTTTGATCCTGGTGTCTAAAACTCCTGTTTTGATCTCACTGTTAAGTTATTTGGATTAAACATCCAGATGTTTTAAACAACTGGATTGGATGTTTTTCCAATTCTTTAATTGAATAAATAACACAAAAAAGACAGTAAAGGAATACAGAGAGCTGGGAGGTGTAGCTCAGTGGCAAAGCATTTGCCTAGCATGGGTGAAGCCCTGGATTCCAATCCCCAGAGCTGGGGGGAAAAAAATACAAAAGACACTATACTCTGTATACTCTGAAGCCATTTCACAAGTCAGGAAAATATGAAACTGTTTCAATAGCATATGATGGGGGTTGGGTGGGAGACCAAAGCCCAGAAGAAAGGAAAATTAAAAAGAAGAAAGGAAATTTAAAAGAAAATCCTCCTTGCAATGAGTGGGAACTTCAAAGCACTACACCCCTAATGGGCAAGAGTAAAAGAAAGTGAAGGAGCCTACAAGTTTAAATTCATTTTGAATTTAAAGAGGCTTAGTGACCTTGAGCACGCAAGTCTTGTAGCTCATAAACATATTTCTCAAGCAGCAGGGGTCCAAAGATTCCTCTCTCTTGAGAAAATGGCCTTCTTCAAATTCTACAAATACTCCTTCATCTATAACAGGGAGGGTGGGGGCATGGTGGTGCATGCCTGTAATTCCAACACTCTGGAGGCTGAGGCAGGAAGATAAGGAGTTGAAGGCCAGCCTGGGCTACATAGTCAGATTATGTTTCAATATACATGCAAGCAAAGACAACTAGGCATGCAAAAAAACAACTGTGACTTCATGAGCCAACAATAAGCAAAAATACCAAGCAATATAATAGATGCAGGTATGGGATGATCAGAAACATTGCAAAACAATCAAGCTTGTTAGCTATAATAAACATAGAAATTTAGTAACCGTAGAAACAGTGAAGTATTCTGATGTTACAAAAAGACAGGTCTGTGAGATCAGATTTGAAGTGCAGGTGGTGGAAAATGTAGTGCATCCAAGGGTTTGCCTATCAGACAAAGAGTCTCAGCCCTGCTCCTAATCCTGGTCCCTCTGTGCACAAACACCTCTCATGCTGCCTGTCGCACACAGGATAAAGTCCATGCTTGTGATGGGGGGAGGGGACTCATCATCAGCGTGGGGCGCTGTGGTCAGCCGGAAACTGTCAAGCTCTTGAGCTCGGAGACACCAATCCTATCCTCCGTCCCCCCAACCACTCTCACCTAGAATCCCTGAAGACCCCCCAGCGCCCCTCCTGGCCCTAAGTGAGACTCAGACACAGGTGACAGCAGTCATCCCTGGGAATCTTTTTTTTTTTTTGAGGGGAGGGGGTGTCTTTTTTTTTTTTTTCTTTTTGGTGCTGGGATCAAACAAGGGCCTCAACGCATGCTAGGCAAGCGCTCTACCATTGAGCTACATCCCAGCATTCCCTGGAAATCTTTATCGTGGGTGAATGGGCGAGAGGTCCCAGGGCAGACACGGTGACAGCACAGTCTTACCCTTGGGAATTTGCATGGTAGGAAGGTGGGGGCGGGGCGGGGGGGGTGTTCCAGGGCAGACACAGGTGACAGCACTGTCTTATCCCAGGGAATCTGCATGGTGGGTGGGTGGGTGGAGTCAGGGTCCCAGGGCAGGCACAGGTGAGAGTGCACTATTATCCCTGGGAAGCTGCATGGTGGGTGGGTGCCCACGGTCGGGTCCCGCAGGCTGTGGTCACCGAGCGCCCGCGCGCAGCGGCTCCACCCGCAGCCACAGCCCGCCCTCTGCGCGCAGGATCAGCTCAGGCTTCCTGCGCGGCTCCGCGTGGTCGGGCAGCACGCGGAAGCGCAGCAGCGTCAGCGCCAGCGCCACCTTCATCTCGCTCATGGCGAACGTCTGTCCGATGCAGTTCCTAAGGGCGGGTGGGGAGATGACTGCTTGGAACCCAACACGGGCCCCAGGGTACCGACCCTGGCCAGGGAACGCGCCCCATCTGGCCAGCCGGAGGGGCAGCAAGGACCTAATGTGCTGGGATCCGGTGTTGGCGCCCATGTCCCCATGGACCCAGACCCAGACCCCAATTCAGAGCAGGAGGCTAGGAGGGACTCTGAGCGCCCCACGGACCGCTCTGGTCTTATCCAGCCCCATCCTCCAAACCTATACCGGAACCTGCGCTGGTAAGGCAGGAAGGACACCGGGGACACTGACCATCCCATCCCCCACCCCCCCTTGTCTGGGTCAGCCCAGACCCCCGCCCCATCACTGCACCCTTTCCTCACCTGGGCCCTGCCGAGAAGGGTATAAAAGCCAGAGGTGACCTCTTCTGGGGGTTTTCTGGGTCGAAGCGGAAGGGGTCATAGACCTGGAGCAAGGCAAGGACGTTGGATGGGGTTTCAACACACCCAGCCACCACCACCACCAGCAGAAAAGATAGAAGTGGCTGCAGTAGAGGGACAGCGTCTGATTTCCCTCCCCCCCTACCCCACCCGGGAGGTCCTTGGGAAAGAGAAGGAGCGGGCAGCACCTCAGGTTGCGGCCAGACTGAAGGGTTATGATGAATCCCGAAGATGCTGATGGCACAGATGTTCCCTGTTGGATAGGAAGAAACAGAACAAGATCTGCACTGCCCTATGCGACCACCGTCCTGCCCAGGAGTCTCCTCCCGCTGACACTCAGGCACCTTTGGGGATGACCCGGCCATCTGGGAGCATCACGTCCTGCGTGCAGCAGCGGGAGATGACGGTGACCGGCGGATGCAGCCGCAGACTCTCCTTGATGCACATGGTCAGGAAGGGCAACTGGGCCAGGTCGTCCCTAAGGAAACCCCCAGCCCTTAACAAATATGCAGGGAGCAAAAGCTGATTCTCCTGCCTCACTGTCACCCCATGAGGCTCTCTGATCCTTACACCTATAGCAAAATTAATTCCATATAGACCAAAGCTTCAAGCATTAGAAAACAAATTACAAAAAAAACTAGAAGAAAATCTGGCATTTTTTTAGAAATATTTCTGAGCAAAACACAACTCTCAAAAGGCATCACTGGGCTGGACGTGTAGCTCAGGTGGTAGAGCACCTGCCCAGCAAGTTGAGGCCTTGAGTTCAAACTCCAGTACTACCAATAACAACAAAAAAGTATCATTACAAGTGTTCATATGTTTGCATGGAAAAGCTTTAAAATTATAAAAATGAGCTAAAAAGGCAGAAACAAATATAGTTAATGGCTTATAAGGTTATTTGAGTAAATAAGATACACTGTAGGGTGGGATGATCTATTATTATAAAAGTATCAATTCATAAGGTTCCAAGGGGCTCATGCCTGTAATCCTAGCTACTCAGGAGACAGAGATCAGGATGATCACTAGTTGAAGCCAGGCCAGACAAATAGTTTGGAGACCTTACCTCGAAAAAACCCATTACAAGTTGGGGGGAGAGGGAGGGGGTGGAGTGGGTGGTAAGGGAGGGGGTGGGGGCAGGGGGGAGAAATGAACCAAGCCTTGTATGCACATATGAATAAGAAAAGAAAAAAAAAACCCATCACAAAAAATGGGAGTTGGTGGAGTGGCTTAAGGCGTAGGCCCTGAGTTCAAATCCCAGTATTAAAAAAAAAAAACCTAGAAAGAATTGATGGTACTGGGATTTGAACCCAGGGCCCCCCTTCAAATCCCAGCACCATCAATTTTTTTTCCTTTGGTGGTAGTGGTGTTGGGGGTGGATCCCATGGCCTTGCACATGCTAGGCAAGCACCCTACCACTGAGCTACACCTCAAGCCTCAATTCTTTCTCAGTTAATCAACATATTCAATGCAACCCCCCCCAAAAAAGAAAGAAAATCTAGCTGATTTTTGTTTTGGTTGTTGATGGTGGTTGTTTTGGATTTTGTGGGGTTTTTTGTGCTCAGGAGAGAACCCAAGGCCTTAAACATTCTAGGCAAGTATTCTACCACTGAGCTGCACCTCTACTCTGAGAACCTTATTCTAACTGGACCAATTAAAGTTAGCTAAAAGCTAGATCAATTTAAAAAATAAAATACTGAAGCAGTGGAACCGAATTTACCAGTTATTAAGAGCTATTAAAGGACTGGAAAAACCGGTAGAGTGGCTCAAGTGGTGGGATGCCTGCCTAACAATCATAAGGTAAGGTCAAACCCCAGTACCGCCAAAAAAAAAAAAGACCCCCCCCCAAAAAAAAATCTATGATACTGCACAGATAGGACAGGAAAGCAGACACACAGAACAGATTAAGAGTCTTCAGAGTCAGGCACACAAACAGGTGAACACACACTTCTGTACAGAGGCTCCACATATTCTTGGGAAATGGATGGATGGTTCTGTGGAAGGTAACATGAAATTGGCAATGTGAAAACAAAAAAGAACTGAATGCTTGTCTACTCAATAGATAAGGCAGAGTGTCCCCGAATATCTGAAAGCTTAAAAGTATAAATTTGGGCTGGGCCCTGGTGGCTCACGCTTGTAATCCTAGCTACTTGGGAGACTAAAATAGGGAGAAATGAGGTTGGAGGCTAGCCCAGGAAATAATTCGAGACCCCCCCCCATCTTCAAAATAACCAGAGCAAAAATAGACTGGAGGTGTGGCTCAAGCAGTAGAGCACCAGCTTTGCAAATACAACTCCTCCCTTCAGCAGCCTGATTAAGAAAAAAAGAAACTATTAAGCTCAAAGAAGAGAACATAAAGAGATATTTTTGTGACCTAGCCGTAGAAATATTTTCGTGTGTGGGAGTGGGGTTTGAGCTCAAGGGTTCATGCTTACAAAGCAGGAGCTCTACTGCTTGAGCCACACCTCCAGTCCATTTTGCTCTGGTTATTTGGGAGGTGGGTCTCCAGAACTATTTGTCCAGGTTAGCCTTGAACCACCATCCTCCTGACTTCAGCATCCCACATAGTTAGGATTACAGGTGTGAGCCACCGGCACCTGGCAAGCAATGAGAATTCTTAAAACTTAAAAAGTAAAAATTGTAAGACAGGAAAAAAGGTAAATATGCATGAGAATGAAGAGTTTCTATGTAATCAGATACCATGGATCAAATTAATATTCAGATGAGAGGTTTGGAGATATCTAAAATTAATATATAGATCTAGAACAATATCTAGAATATATAAGGAATTCCTGAAAATCAACACACGGAAGGACAGGTGACAAGAGAAGAGCAGACAAAGGATACAATCCAGGAATTCACAGAAGTCAAACACAAAAGATTTAAGAAGAAACACCTAGGGCTGGAGGTGTAGATCAAGTGGTAGAGCGCTTGCCTGGCAAGTGTGAGGCCCTGAATTCAGACCCCATATGGCAGAGAGAGAGGGAGAGAGAGAGAGAGAAAGAGAGAGAGAGAGGTGAGGTGTAGAGACAAGGTTATCAGGGATATGGAAATTTTTTAGCAGCAGGATGTCATATCTATTTGAGGCAAGAATTAACAAATTGAAGAGGACTAAAGGTTAGCTGAGGTGTGACGAGGTAGAGGGGACTCATGGGTTGCTAGTGGGGATATAGACAGGTTGCTATTTTGGGGGACAACTTCCAGGACATGGTCAAGGAAAAAGGATGTGTGTTTATAGCCCAGCAAGCTGACACCCACATACAAATCTCAAAGAGGGACTAGTGGAGTGGCTCAAGTGGTAAAATGCCTAATTAGTAAGTGTAAGGCCCTGAGTTCAAATCCCAGAGAGAGAGAGACAGGGAGACAGAAAGAGAGGGAGAGAGAGAATGTTTTCAATCTGGTCAACCTGATTGTAGAACTCAAATGGAAAAATAAGGACTCAAGAAAAATTGTAGCCAGGCACCAGTAGCTCATGGCTGTAATCCTAGCTACTCAGGAGGCAGAGATCAGGAGGATAGCGGTTCGAAGCCAGCCCCAGGCAATTAATTCCGCGAGACCCTATCTCAAAAATACCTAACACAAAAAAGGGGCTGGTGGAATGGCTCAAGGTGTAGGCCCTGAGTTCAAATCCCAGTACCACAAAAAAAATTATAAAAAAAAAAGACAAATACAAAATATTAAATTCTGTTGGGACCATTTGGGTAAAAAGTAGATTCCTACCTTAGTACTTATAGCAACATAAATTTCAAAGAATTAAATAAAATATTAAATAAATACAATATTTAAAAAATAAACTCACTAGAGTAAAACAAAAGGAAGGTTTTACATTTTAATATTAGACTATGAAAGACTATTCTAAATATTAATTTAAATAAACAAAAACAGGAGCTATAAAACAATTAGCTAGGCACAATGGCTCACACCTGTCATCTTAGCTACATGGGAAGCATAAAGGGGAAGACCACAGTCCAGGCTGGCCTAGTCATAAATGTGAGACCCTGTTCAAAAAATAACTGAAGCAAAAGGACTTGGGGGCATTGGTCAAGTGGCACCTGCCTGGCAAGTGCAAGGCCCTGAGTTCAAACTCCAATACCTCAAAAAGGAAGGAAGGAGGGAAAGAAGGAAGGAAGGAAGGAAGGAAGAAACAATAGATGTGACTAAAAATAGATGAACCAAGCTGAACAATAAAGTCAAGGACAACTTGGAGAGGAATACTGCATGACAGAAAAAAAACTAATTTTTATCATAAGTAAACAGTTCTTGTAAATCAATAAGGAAAAAACCTAGATGATCTCAAGGTAGAAAAGACTAACGCAAACTGAGATGTCACAGAAAAAGAACTCTGCAAGCCTGATCAACAGATGAACACAGTGTTCAAAATCATCAGTGATGTTCATTAACATAGTACACCTATCAGACTGGCAAGAGTTTTAAAGTTCCTTAATGCCCACTCTTGGTGAAGATGCAAGGAACCAGGCGCTCCCAAATTCTGTGCATAGGTGGGGACTTTCCAAGAGCTATTAAGTTGTAAATCTCAAATGGCCTTTGATTCAGCCATCTGAGCTTCATGTGGGAGAGGGAGGCCACTTGAGCCATTCAGCTTAATATGACCAGTCCACATTGAATTAAAATGTTTTAATATCACTTTATATTCATAAATATATAAAGTGTAACTAACTGGTATATAATTTAATTTTTTTTGTTGGGCTTTGCACCTGCAAAGCAGACTCTCTACCACTTGAGCCACACCTCCAGTCCATTTTGCTCTGGTTAGTTTGGAGATGGGGTCTTGAGAACTATTTCCCTGGGCTGGCCTCAAACTGCCATCCTCCCTATCTCAGTCTCCCAAGTAGCTAGGATTACAGGTGTGAGCCAGCAGGACCCAGCAAAATTTTTTAATTTAAAAAAATTTAGAGGAGAAATCTAATTTACTCCTGTTTCATTGTGTGAAAAAGAAAAAAGAAACTCCTTCCTATGATTGATTTTACAATTCAAAGTTAATTTTCCAAAGCCTTATTAAAAACAAAAAAAACTACAGGGCAGTGGCAGAGCACTTGCCTAGCATCCACTAAGTCCTGGGTTCCATCCCCATCAACACACACACACACACACACACACACACACACACACAGCAAAGACCAACGTTCTGATGTCAGTGTGGAGACCTCAGTATCTACTCCTGGTTGTACAAAGACTGAAAGAGAGAAAAGCAAGGGAATAGAGTATGAACAGAGAACATAAGCAGAGATTGAATACTTCCTGAAAGGACACAGGAAGTCACCAAAAGGCAGAGGGGAATTGGCACTCTTTGGTTACAAATTCATCATAACCCTTTCATATTGTTCAAATTTGTAACAAGCGCATACTTTTCTGAAGGTAGGGGAATCACAAAAACATTTCTCCAATTCACAGAACTGTGTTGTGCTAAACCTTCAAGTTGAGGGTGTTACCTCTGACATTTTTCTTCAATCCAACATGTCCTCTCTACCCCTCAGTCTAGCCAGGACTTTGTCCCTTGGACACACCAGGTCCCCAGCTCATCCGCTCCAGTCTATCCCTATAGCCACAGAGAGACATTTCTGATTTTTTTTTTGGTGGTACTGGGGTTTGAACTTAGTGCCTACACTTTGAGCCACTTCACTAGCCCTTTTTTGTGAAGGGTTTTTTTTTCAGATGGGTTCTCTTGAACTATTAGCCTGGGCTGGCTTCCAACCAGATCCTCCTGATCTCTGCCTCCTTAGTAGCTAGGATTACAGGTGTGAGCCACAAGCACCCAGCTTGATTTTTTTTTTTTGCAGTGCTGGGGATGGAATCCAGGGTCTCACACATGCTAGGCAAGTGCATTACCACTGAGCTACAATCCCAGTCCCAACAAAGAGATATTTCTCACACCTAGATCTGACCTCTCCCTCCCCATGCTCACACTTCTCCCTCTATCTTGTTATGAATCTTTCTTTAAGAAAGCACTTGCTACTGGGTGCAGTAGACTACATCTGTAACCCCATCTACTTGGGAGGCAAAGGTTGGGCTGATTGCAGGTCAAGGCCAGCCAGGGCAAAAAGTTAGTGAGATCCCACAAACTGGGTGTGGTAGTTCCCATCTATAATCCCAGTTGCACAGAAGGCATAGGTAGGAGGATCACAATCCAAGGCAGGCCCAAGTAAAAAACAAAAGACCCTATCTGAAAAATAACCTAAAAAAGCAAAAAGGGCTGGGGACATGGCTCAAGTGGTAGAGCACCTGCCTAGAAAGTGGAAGGCCCTGAGTTCAAACCCCAATACCGCCAAAAAAAAAGAAGGAAAGAAAGAGCTTGCTGTCTAACCCAAGGAGTGTAGTTAGCTGCCAGTCTCCAGCTATAGAGTTTTCACTGCATCACTCAAACCATATTTTCCCAGACAGCACCAGCTAATAACTAAGCATGGTTATCCACAAGTTTCTGACCATCTCTGCCCAATGTCTGGCTCTGCATGACAGCATCCCTGCCCACTTTTATCTTTCATCTAACATCAGTTTTCAAAGGACTTGAACTGTTACACCTTTGGTTAAAACCCAAAAGCTTAACATGGTTTCCTAAGCTTTGCAAACAGGGCTTCCATTACTAGCTCCAGCCTCACTGGAGCCTCTCTGTTCATAGTGTGCTTTTTTTGTAGTGGTGGTGGCACTGGGGTTTGAACTCAGGGCCTTGTACTTGCTAGTCACTTAGGCCATGACCCCAGTCCCACACTGTGCATTTTGCAAGGATTCAGACAATATTACATCACCTGCCCTTAAACATACCAGGCTGTCTCATTCTTACTTTCATCCTGGCCTTTGTGTAGCTGTCTTCTTGACCTGAAATGCTCTTGTAACTCTCATCCACTGTTCCACTACCCATCCCGGCCTCCTTTTCCTTCTGCCCCAGCTTTGCCCAAGTAGGATTAAAATGAAATGGAAACTCATGCATGTGCTAAGCACCTATAATCCTAGCTACTCAGGAGGCAGAGATCAGGAGGATCGCGGTACAAAGCCAGCCCAGGCAAATAGTTCAAGAGACCCTATCTCAAAAAACTCTTCACAAAAAAAGAGCTAGTGGAGTGGCTCAAGGTGTAGGTCCTTAGTTCAAGCCCCAGTACCTCAAAAACAAAAAAAAAGAAAGGAAAGAAAGGAAGGAAGGAAGGAAGGAAGGAAGGAAGGAAGGAAGGAAGGAAGGAAGGAAGGAAAGAAAGAAAGAAAGAAAGAAAGAAAGAAAGAAAGAAAGAAAGAAAGAAAGAAAGAAAGAAAGAAAAGAAAGAAAGAAAGAAAAAAGTCATGCATGATGGCACATGCCTGTAATCCTAGCTACTCTGAAGGCTGAGGCAGGAGGATTGCTTAAGCCTGGGAGTTCAGTACCTGTTTGGGAGATATACAGAGACACTGTTTCTAGTTAATTGATTAATTAACTTTGCAATGGAACCAGAATGGAAAAATGAGACCTGCTGAAACTATTCCAGGAATGAGAGGAAAGGAGTAAAGGAGAGTGATGGAGGGCATGACTCAACTTTTGTAAATGTCACAATATACCCCCAGCACAACAATAATGTGATAATTAAAACATAAAATGGAACCAGATATGAAGTTGGGAAAAGGGAGGTGGTGTGGATGTGTTTCCCAAATGAAGAGCTAGGTGATTTCTGCTTTCTGAGGTCTTTGTGAATCCTTGAATAGATTACAAGATGGGATTTAAAGGGAAAGGTAAAAATTAAGGAAACTGAAGTTTGGTTGGTTGGTTGGTTGGTTGGGGTGTGATGCAACTTTAAGCAGAAAGGAAAGTAGAGGCTGGAGGTGTGGCTCAGTGGTACAGTGCTTGCTTAGCCTGCACAATGCCCTGAGTTCCATCCCCCAGCTCTGCAAAGAGGGGAGGATCGTTGATTTACTGAATCCTTGCGGGGCGGTTTCTGCTCTACTTATATTGTCCATTTCTCCAAGCAGCCCTATGGGGTAGAGAATCCTTCTAATTCACAAGTGAAAAAAGATTCAGAGGTCTGATGAGGTGGTTCAAGCACTAGAGTGTCTGCCTAGCAATGAGTTGAAACCCCAGTACCACCAAAAGAGAAGGGATGGAGGGGTAGAGGAGAGAGACAGGTGGGTAGCAGGCCCTCCCTCTGACCTTCACTCCTATTGCCACCCAGCAATAATGGAAGAATCAGGTAAAAACAGTTCCCCTTTCTCCACCTAGGAGCAGAGCCAACAAGAGGGACTAGGGAACAAGTCACATGGACCTGCACTCACCATTCGATCTCTTTAGGGTCCCGGTCCCTCAGGAGCTCCTGCACCTCCCGCCGACAGCGCTCCTGGTATTCTGGGTGCCTCGCTAGGTTGTACAGGACCCAGGAGAGACCACTGGCTGTGGTGTCATGGCCTGAGAGGCAACCAGATAGGTATGGGTTCCTGGGCTACTTCAGCACCACGGAGGATGGACAGCTCCCAGGCATTCAGGACCCCAGGCAGGATGGGGAAAAGGAGGTAGAGCAGAATGAGGTGATCTAGAGCCCATGCACCACGTCCCTGGTGTGAGAGGCCTCTGCCGCATCTCTAGTTCCACACTGGGACTAGAGCCACACAGGGGATGTGGCTCAGTGGTAGAGTGACCCTCACCTCCAAACATGAAAGTGTCAGCCTCTGATCGTATGTCCTCATCTGACAATTCCTTCCCATTTTCATCCTGCAGCCAAAAAGCAAGACTTTCAAATCACACCCGGTCTAAGGGCACCTGAGCCTAACCTGAAACAAGGCTTTGAAGTCCCATTATGCAAACAGGATCCCTCCCTTATCATCTCCACAGCCTGCCCCACAGGTTTCCTGTCTGGTTTCCAGCCTCTTGTTTGAAGATTGCCTTCAACAGAGTCACCTCTAAAATTTATCTCCAACTTGTCCCTCCCTTCTTCAAACACTTTCTATGACTCCCCACTTCCTTCTGGATCAAGTCCAACCTCTTCTATTTGACATCAAACATCAAGATCCTGAATTCAGACCCCAGAGAAGCCCACCTTGGCCAGTAGGAGCACATCGATGAAGTCCAAAGTCTTAGACTTGGCCTTGGCCTTGAGGAACTCATCAACACCCTGACTAGTGAGGGTATGGCGCCGCTCCTGGATGATGGCATCTGTGAAGTCATGCACCAGCTTGCAGGCCTTACGGAAGCGCCACCCATCAGAAGTGAGGTGATACAGGAAGTTCATGTGCAGAAAGATCTGCTGGTACCGTTTCACTATGAGGGCACTGAGCTCCAAGATGGCAGCAATATATTCACTGGGATTCCTTCAGGGCCAGACCAGGGAAAAGAAGCAAATTCTTAGCACCCATGAGACCCTGGAGCAACTCCCAGCTAGGATCCAAGGACCACGTTCCATCCAGAAAAGCTGCCAAGACATCTCTCTTTTCCTCCCACACGCATGAACTGCCTCATGTCCCATACCCAGGAAGAGCTTGGCCTACATCCTCATCTCGCTTTCATTCACCCTCTGGTCTTGCCTGTTCTTCCTCGGTTTCTTGCAAATTAGACCCAATTACTCTACCAAGTTCAGATTTCCTTCTCTCCAAGTCTCCTTGCATCCTGTGTCTACCTGATAGTCTACTGAGTTGAACAGCCAAGCTCAGCTCTCACCTGATTCTTATCTGCTCCCTGGGGACCTCAATAAACTTCACCTGCTTTTTCTGACTTTTCAATGATCTAGTCACTGTCTACTCCTCTGTGGTTGTTAATCTTGATTGTCAACTCGGTTGTATGAGAGACAGCTAAGAGATTAGTAAAGTACACCTCTGGGTGTGTCTAAGAGGGGCATTTCCAGGGAGGATTAACTAAAGGGAGGGAGAACATCCACCACTGATCTTGGTAACAGCATGCCATAGGCTGGGGCCCAGGATAGACTAAAAGGGGAAGAAGGAAGAAGCCTGAAAGCTTCTCAGTCTCTGTCTCGCTCTCTGTTTCTCTGTCTCTGTCTCTCTCTCTGTTTCTCTCTCTCTCTCTCTCTCTCTCTCTCTCTCTCTCTCTCTCTCTCTCTCTCTTCCTCCATTCCTTCCTCCCTCTCTCCCCCTCTCTTCCTTCCTCCTCTTCCTCCTCTTCCTCCTCTCTCTCTCTCTCTCTCTCTCTCTCTCTCTTTCTCCTTGCTGGACACCAGGAGGTGAGCTGCTCTTCTCTAACATACCCTGCCTCCCTCCCTCCCAGCCATGATCGGCAGAAATTGCTGAAAACATAAACCAAAATAAATCTTTCCTCCCTTAAGATGTTTTGTCACAATGAAAAAATTCTGGCTAATACCCTCCAGCCTCATTTCTAAGGTGCCTCTTCACTGCCTGCCACACATACCCTGCTCTTCCATGTCCCCTTGCCTTTATCTAAATAATTCCCCCACCCTAGAATGACTAGCCACTCTTTCTCCCTTCTCTGTCATTCATTGTCAGTTCTGACACATTTATTCCAGACGGCCCCTGATTTGTGTGTACAGTCTTCTCTTCTCCTTTGGGTTCATAGCTCAGGTTCCCAGGACCTGGGCAGAAACTCACTCCTGACAGTTGCTGTCGAAGCTAAAGACACATTTCTGTAGACTGTCCAAGGTCATGAGGCTGATGTGCTCAAACATGTCCAGATGGGAATTGCCTTCTGACACCAGGCGCTGCCACTTGGCCTGGTCAGAAAAAGGGACAGAACTGGAGTTGAGCCTTGACTGTCTGAGCCCTTCCCCAACTCCACCACTAGAATGGACTCCCTGGAACCAGTTTCATAGTCCTCTGCCCTAGGCATCCAACCCCTGGTATAAGCAGTCTTGGCTGGAAATGGAAGCTGTTACTATAACAGATGAAGGTCCAAGGCTGGGAGTCAGGAGCTGTGAATTCAAGTCCATGTTGTGTGGGCTCTTAGCTCATTGCCCTCCCTAGATCTGAGATGTCAAGAGTTCAGCAACAGCAGGGTGCTGATGGCTCACGCTTGAAATCCTATCTATTCAGGAGGCAGATATCAGGAGGATCACTGTTTGAAGCCAAAATAATTTGAAGCAAAATAATTCATGAGATCCTATCTCAAAAAAAAAAAAAAACCCATCACTAAAAAGGGTAGGTGGAGTGGCTCAAGGTGTAGGCCCTGAGTTCAAACCCCAGTAGTGCAAAAAAAAAATTAGCAACAGTTAAGTTGACCTGCTTGGTGTCCAATAAAATCAGGTTTGAATGCCTCAATGCCTGCTCCACCACCCATGTTCACGTACTGCTCAGTAAACTTAGACAAGCTCCCTAACCTCTTGCCCTCAGACTCATCATCCCGAATGTGGCAGTCAACTAGCGGAGTGGCTCAAGCACTAAGAGCAAGAGCAAGATCTTGAGTTCAAACCCCAATACCACCACCACCAAATAAAAAGAAAGGTAAACAGAATGTTTACCTCTCTAGCTCGGAGAGGCATGAAATTACCTTACGGGATTGGCATGTTTCTTCTGCATATAGTAAGTGCTCTGTGTCAGTTATCAATATCATCCTCATTTGCATAGTGGTGGATGATTGCAGAAATGCCCATTTCTTCATCCCTCCTTTATTCTCAACACATTGCAACTTCTTCCATTAGGGGTGGAGACTGTTTTTCCCTCTCTTGAATCTCAGCTGAGCTGGGCACTTATAAATTGACAGTAAAAATAATGGTATGCTAGTTCTCTCTCTCTCTCTCTCTCTCTCTCTCACTGGGGTTTGAACTCAGGGCTTTGCACTTGCAAAACAGGAGCTCTAGTGCCTGAGCCACATCTCCAGTCCATTTTGCTCTGGTTATTTTGAAGATGGGTCTGGAGAACTATTTGCCCAAGCTGGCCTCAAACCATGATCGCCCTGATCTCAACCTCTCAAAGTAGCTAGGATTACAGACATTAGCCACTGGTGCTCAGCTTCTGCTTGCTTTCTTAGAACCTAGTCTCTGCCATGCTAGCAAGCCCAGACTACTCTCAGAGAGAGCTCATATATAATCTTCATTATTACTGTGTTGAGTTTCCAAGGCTTCTGTGAGGGAGACAAGAAACATCTGAGCACCTACTATGTGCCAGGTGAATGACTCCGTATCCTCTTGACTACCTTTTAAGCACAGATGATGATTCCCGTTTTGCAAATGAGAAAACTAAAGCTCAGAGAGGAAAAGCAATAGCCCTGAAGCCACCCAGTAGACCCAGGACTGCAGACAAGATATTGTTGAAGCTACTCCCTGTTTTGCAAAGCTCCAGTGGGAACCAGGGTTCAAGGCACTCACATGCATGATGTTCACACTCTTGTTGAAAATCTTCACATAGGGCTTCAGGATGTTGAAGTGGAAGGCTGGTGTTAGCAAGCGACGATGACGGCTCCACTTGTCACCAGCACTCAGCAAAGCCCATCCCCTGGTAGAGCAGCCATGGGCAGTAGGCAAGGGCAGCACCTTCCCCTGGCCCCTAAGACTGTCCCCAACCCCCTTTACCTGCAGGTACTCACCCAGCCAGGGTCTCAGGAAGCCATAGAGAGTCATTTCCTTGGGTGCAACTGTAGCTGAGATGAAGGAGAACCATCAGAGGCCATGGACTGGGATAGGGTATAGGGACTCCCAGCCAGAAGTCCACACTCCCCTTCCAAGTCCAGCATAGCAGGAGGGGAGCCAAGGACAGAGGAAGTAGGGAGGAGAGGGGAGTCCAAGGGTACCAGACCAGGCTATAGCAGCAGACAGAGCCAAGGCATAGCCTGACATAGCAGAACATGCATCAACACACCTTGACATGACTCCTACATGATCCAACATGTCTGCCCTACCCAAGCATAGCCAAGCACTGTATGACACACAGGGACCTAGGTCACCCTGTCATCTTAGTGTTCCCTGACATCTCCTGTCACACATTGGGACTCATATGTAGATAGATAGACAACACATGGACACAATAGGTGTCATCATGACCTATCATGGACACAATACACATGATCTTTCCTGACGTGGTCTGACATGAACCTGAGACAGTGCAACATGACTTAAGTGTACCCTACAGAGAAGCCCCAAAAGGATTTAAATATGATCCCGTTCGTGTTTTAGATATAACCCAGAATTGACCAAGAATCCACCATATCTTCCTCCACTCCATACTAAATGTTAAGTTTTTAGCATCAAGGGCTTCTCTAGCCTTAAAGAAACCAAAAGATATTACCTCCAACCCAGGTACTGAGCTCCATCCACCCAAAGAGCTGCCACCATCCCCTCCAGTCACTAGAGCAGCCCCACAGTCAGCCAGACACAGCTGACCCATCTGGGGTCTGGTGGATCTCCCCTCACAGAATTCTGAACATCCTCTCCCTCCCATGTCCCTTCTATCTAGGTGGCTGGGGCAGATAAGAGTGCACTGAACTAAAGAGAGGCCTTGACAGGCTACACAACCTTGAGAAGTGCCTCCCTGAGCCCGTTTCCTCACCAGGAACTGCCTAGCTCAAGAATGCTGCTAGGTGGACATCTGTGATGTCTGTCTTTCTGACACCCTTCCTCCTTTTTTAGGAGCCAGCAACTTGCACCTCTCCCAATCCCAACCCAGTAGTTGGGAGGGTGGACTGAGTCTCAGCAATCAAGTAATTAGATGGAGAACTAGTCCTGTCTCCCAAAGCAAGCAAACTTAAGGGCATCCCAGAACTCCTCTTTGAAGTACAATTTTCTTTGGGTGTTTAGTCATCTTTACCAATATGAGAGTAAAGCCATCACCAAGAGAAACAGAACTAGGAGATGAAGAGTCATGATGGCATTGAGGACCTGGATCTAGTTGTACCTGAAGACCTCCTGAAGGGAACTGGAGTCCCTTTTTTGCTTAGATCACACTGGGTTGAGTTTCTATCACTCAAAGCTAAAAGGGACTTTAGCGATCAGGGAGAACCAGGGACCCACCCAGAGCCTCTCATAAGGTTAGTGGCAAAGTCATGGTCTCTATTGGCTATTTCCCTTTCCCCTGCTCAGCCTGGCTTGCCCAGGGTGGGTGGGAAGGGATAGAAGAAGAAACAAGGGAAAAGTAAAGCATTGGGACCCTGGGAGAGATACCTGGGGCCTGAAGCAAGGGAGCAACGAACTTAGGGTGGACAAGGCGCAGGACGGGGTAGAGTGGCCCAACCCACCAGAGGTGGACATCACGGAAGTAGTGGCCCAGCTCCTCCACCAGTCGCATGCCTTCCTCGTTGCTCTGCGTCTGGAGAAGGAGGAGACAGAGCAGTCCTGGCAGGTGGAGGTTACCACCCGCACCTCTCTGCCCACCACACACCCCTTTCCCCTTCTACATGGATTGCTCATCTGGGCCTCTTGCTGAGTCAACTTCTGTTGGTCCATGTCTGTCTCCTTCTGTATCTGTGTCTATCGATGTGCATCTCTCTCTGACCCCTCATTCTCTTCATCTTTCTGTTTCTTGCTCTAAATAGGTATATGAATGGATAGATGGATGGATGGATAGATAGACAGATAGGTAGATAGAATAAGATAGAGATGAATGTGCAGATTATCGGTAGATGAGTATGATAGATTATAGGTAGAGAGATAAAGATATATGAATATACAAGTGATTAATAGGTGTGATACATAATAGATAGAAATGGCAGATAAGATAGAGATGATAAGTTAATGACAGAGATAAGTCAGAGATAAGTGTATGTGTGTGTAATTGTGTACATATTTCTTTACTCCCTGTTTATCTGTCCTCTTTGTGTCTTTTTATCTCCCTCACTTGCCTCTGTCTCTGTGTCTCTCTCCCCAATATCTTACCATTCACCCCCACTCAGAGTGAACTCACAGCTAATTCCACTCCATCCAACTCTCTCCCATGTCCCCAGCCCCAGCACAGCTTCCAGCCAATAGCTTTCACCAGTTTCCTCTCCAGCTTTGCAGCAAACCAACTTGAAGGCATCCCCAACCTTAGTTCCCAGATCAGGAGAGATGAGAACTTAGAAGTCACTTCAAGAGGGAAGTGACTCCAACCCTGTTTTGGACCCCCCCAGGGTAAGGAGGTAACTGGGAAAGGAGATAAGAGAGAGGAGAGTTAGGACCCAGAGAATCCCATTTGAAAAGATCAGGGGAAGGAGGAGCTGAGCTCTCCATGGGGAGCCTGGGGAAGACCAAGTGAGGGTGTCATCCTGGAACCAAGAAAAGAGGCTCCTGATAAGATGGGACAGTCAGCATACTAGGTCACTGCTGGGAGGTGGATGAGATGGGGCCAGGATTTAGGGACTTGAAAGTTACAGGTGATGGGGTGAAAAACAAGCAGGGAAAAGGAAGCAATAAATGAAAACGAGTCTTTGTCCACGGTGGGATGGTAGAGAAAGCAAATGGAAGGTTTGGTGCATAATTGGAGGTGGGTATGTGGGAATTTCCTGTCTGTATAGTGTTGTGACTTTCTCCAGCATCATTGTGGGAAAAACATGGGTGCTTGAGTTCATTCCAGGCAAAGGTTTTCCAAAAAAATCTATGAAGGAAAAACCCAACTGGCAAGAGACTTCAGACCATGAGTCATGATGAGAATCTGAGTTAGCTGTGGTCAAGGAAGAGGGATGGGAAAGAAGTTACTGAGCTGGACTGTACAGAGAATGGAAGTCCTGAGGGGATCTAAGATGGCAGGAGGTGAACAAGGACACTGGAAGGAGAGAGGGTGGTGGCAAAAGAATGCAACACTTGAATCAATGGACTTGGCATGTGGCATCAAGTTGAAAGTATGACAACAGGAAGCCAACACATCATGGAGCAAAGGCCTCTGGGAATGAAGCTAGGATGGTGAGTGAGGAGCCTCTCCCAGGAAGTGTAGCCATTATGGCACAAGCCAGGATGCCCCCCCCACTTCTGAAAATTGATCAGGCTGTGGGTGGAGCTCAGTGGTAGAGCACTTGCCTAGTATGCACGAGACACTGGGTTGGATTCCCAGCTCTGCAAAGAAAAAGATAGTGGTCACATTTTATGGAAATCGGGCAATGGGGTGACTGATACATCTTGAGGGTGGAGGGCAAGATAAGAAAACTGTCTGAGGAACTGGAGAACAGTGACACTGCCCACACCTCTGCACTGCCCCACAGTGCCCCTGTGAGTTGGGGGAGGGATTGCTGCTCATTCCTGCAGGGAAATGGCAGCCCAGAGAGATGCAGACCAACAGAGATGGGTCAGGCCAGGAGAAGACCCTGTGCAGTGGCCCCCTCCTCCGAAGGCCTCAAATCCAAGTGTAGAAACTATGAACTAGTGGGGGAGTTCATGCTCTGCGCAGCCCACCCTAAGAGCCCACCAATTAGGACAGGGATGCTCTAATGAGAGGAAGTCAGGCAGGAATGTGATCCCAACCAGACTTGGAAATGGGAAATAGAAAGGTTTTCGAGCAGGGGGTGGACAGAGAAGAGAAGGATGGATCTAGTAAGGGAAAGGGTATCTCCTTGGCTTCCCCCACTTCTCTGCTATCCTAAACCCCAGCTCAACCCCGGTCCCTGAAACCCACTCCCAACCCCCAGGGGAGCTACCCTGACACACCAACCTGCTCTGTTGTCACACCTACCATTCCTAGGTGACCCCAAAACCAGTTCCTTCTGGGGGGCTGAGGGAAACATCGAAGGCGGCCGCAGTTGTCATAGAAGGCGTAGGCCCGGGCCAGAATTCGGGCCAGGATCCAGGAGGCCCCAACCAGCAACAGGTACAACCATGGAGAGGCAGCCTCCAGCCCCAGGCCCAGCCAGGACAGGCTCAGCTGTGGCATCCTGCAAAGCAGATGGACAGAGGGTGAGTGCCTGAGACCCAAGAGAGGGACAGGTACTCCAGAGACACTGGTAGGGGACTGGGACTCTGAGTGCTGGGGGAGGAAGGACAGAAAATGGGAGGGAGACCAGAGCAATCAGGCGAAGATGAGTGAAGGTGGGGAAGAGAGAGAGAGAGAGAGTGAAAGGAGTCTAAAATGGTGTCTGAATCACAGGGGAGTTGCCAGGGACTGTTGCGCAGAAACCACCAGTCTATCGGGCCAGCTGGCTCCCTAGAGCCACTCTGGCCTTGAGCGATGCCCTTCCCATTCCAGGCCAGGCCCCTCCAGTCCCACCTCCCCCAGCCTGGCACCTTCCCCTAGGAGAAGCTCATCCCCCACAACCTCCTCTCCCTCCTCTGGGACTTCCTTGTCACTGGCTCCTGACCTGGAGGAGGATGTGGGAGGCCGGCCTAGGTTGGGCCAGCCAATCCCCAAGGGCTGGCAGCCTCCTCCCTGCCTGGGCAGGCAGCCAAGGCATTGGGCAAGAAGGAGGGGATCAGGGGCGGGGCTGGCACAGTGCAGAAAGGAATCTACTTGGGGTCACTGGCACAGGCAGGCAATGGATCCTCAGAATTCAGCACTTTCAGCTCCAATGAGAGGCAAAGGTTACTCTAAGCCCCCAAGTTTACAGCCACTCCTGCACTTCCAAGGCTAAGGGATGGCAAGTAAAAGCTTGAACTTGGGAGTTCTCGAGACAGGACAAGACTTGTTCCAAGATCCTCTCCAACTTGGACTGGACGTTCTTCATGTGCCATTCCTCCTGCCGACTTAGGAGGCTCTGAGATGCGAGCCTTTGCCCACCAGCTGCTCAGCCTGGCAAGGGTTCAAGTCCTGCTTCCACGCAGCCCAAGGACTGGGCTGAGACCTTAGTTGCTGAAGGACTGGAAGTATGGCTCAAGTAGTAGAGCCCGCCTAGCACAAGGCCCAGAGTTCAAACTCCAGTATCAAGAAAAAGAGAGAGAGAGAGAGAGAGAGAGAGAGAGAGAGAGAGATAAAGAATCCAGCCATGCTGAAATTATCTGGGTTAGATTCTGGAGATAGAGCCCAGTTGCAAAGACACACCTGGAGGCAGGGTCAGACTCAAGTCAGAGGTCAGATGACTGATGGGAAGCATGGGGGAAGGAGAAGGCTAAGTAGACCCATGAGCAGAGGGGTCCAGGTGGGAAGAACAGAGCCAGGTGACCCAAAGAGGAGTCTTTGTTATGCCCATGGGCAACACCAGCCCTCTCTGGGCTCAGTCTTCCCTTCTGAGAAATGGGTTATTGTCCTTAAAAGGTGGGGGCACATTTTGTCCAGAAACTATCCTGAATTCCCCAGTATGGTGGTCTTGGGCGCCTCTGTAGTCTCCTCATGGTCAGGCTCCCAAACTGGGGTGAATTTGAAGGATGGACCTGACAAGTGAAAGAACTGGAGTGGAGATTCTCCCTCCAAATGATAAAATGTTGGGGAGGAGATACCCAATATTTCTTCAAGTCTTAACTGATCCAACTTCTGGTCCTAGACGACCTTGGAACCCTCAGCAACTTGTGTGCACTGCCTCCAGATTCTCCTCCTTCCCTGCTGGGGCAGATCTACCTGCTGGTCCATCCAGACAGTGACCAGCCACAGTTCCCTAAAGAAGGGACCACCTGCTTATCCCCCCTCACCATCCCTTCCCTGGTCTTCCCAGGCAGGCCAGCATGAGTGCCTTGCAGTGCCTGCAGCAGCTCAAGTTGGAGGCTAGTGCGGACAGAATCAAGGTCTCTCAAGCATTTGAAACACAGAATGCCCCTGGGATGAAGTCCTGCTGGCTGGTGTTCCCCTCAATCAGAAGAAACTGGTTCTGGAAAACCAGATCCTTGTTCTTTACTTTGAAGACTGTAGGGGAAAAGTTCCTTGAGGAGTGCCACCTCCATGTCTCAAGAAAACACTTCTCTCCAGGCATGGTGGCTCAAGCTTGCAATCTTAGCTGCTCAGGAAGTGGAGATCTGGAGAATCATGGTTCGAGGCCAGCCTAGGCAAAAAAGTTCTCAAGACCCCATTTCAACCAATAAAAATCTGGGCATGATGGTGCACCCCTGTCATCCCAGCTGCTAGGGAAGAGTAAAATAGGAGAATTGCACTCCCAGGCTGGCCCCAGACAGAAAGGGAGACCCTATCACAAAAATAACCAAGGCAAAAAGGGCTGGGGGCATGGCTCAAGTGGTAGAGCACCTGCCTAGCAAGTGTGAGGCCCTGAGTTCAAACCTCAGTACCACCAAAAAAATTTTTTTGAGGAAGAGCTATGGCAGAGCATGAGAAGTATCTATAGTTAAACAATGCTGGTCAGAGTTTGGCCTGGTTGATCATTATCTGGTCAAGATAAGCAAATCATTGTTGGCTGGCATGGGCTCTGTCCTCAGGAGGCTCTGTTCTTCCTTTCCTTGGGGGCAGTTTTCTCCTCCCTTGTCACAAAGATGCTACTGACTATTCTTATCTTTCCTGGATTCCAAGCTGGCTCTGAAGTGAATAGCTCAGAGCAAAGACAGATACAAAATGGAAGCAGGGACGCCAACCAAGCTTTTCTCCTGCTTTAGTTAATTTTGCAGGCCACATAAGGAGTCAATTTTTTTTTTTTGAGCACAAGAAGTTTCTGGTACCTGTTAGTAGCTGACCAGTTCCATCTGGGGAGAAGCAGAAGGGAGGAGAAAACGGTGATGTAATAATTTGCTTCAGCCACACAGCAAAGTAATTAAACATGATGACACAAGTGAAATTGAGTCCTAGCACATAGTAGGTGCTCATTAAATACTTAGGGGAAAAATAACTTTTTTGGTGGTGCTAAGGTTTGAACTTAGGGCCTCATGATTGCTAGGTAGGTGCTCTATCACTTGAGCCACTCCACCAGCCTGAAAAATAACTTGTAGTCATGGGGTGGCTACTCAAATTGGGGACCTTGGACTGGCAGCACTAGCATTATCAATAGCACCTTGAAAATGCAGAAACTCAGAACCTCAGCCAGACCCTCAGAGGTGATGGCTATAAATTCTTTGTCAGTGTCCCCAACAAGAGGAGGAGTTATGGGCTGGGTGTGGTAGCTCATGCCTGTAATCCCAGCTACTCAGGAGGTGATCTTCTCCTTGAATATGGAGTGACCTAGGACTACTGAATTAACAGTACACAGCAGAGATGATGGCATGCCACCTTTGTTGTGAGAAAATCAGAGTGCTGGAAAGTGACAGAGGGACTTAGTAAGGTTGGAGGAATTCCCTAACAAATGACGTTTGAGCAAAAACCTGAATAAGATGGAGAAGTGAGTTGTGTATAAGAACCACTTTCTGAAGCCATGCCTGGAACACCCAGACCTAGCACAGGACTGGAGGACACACACATGTTCGTTCTCACTTCCGTCTTCAAATGTACTTAGAAAACCAAGCCCTGAAGGAGGCCAGGAAAGCAGGAGCCAGCAGCACTGGAGCCCCTGGTGGTGAAGAAATCTACCTCACAGGTTTCATTCAATGTGCTCTAGAATGAGCTACCCCCTCCCAAGCCTCTGAGGTCATTTTTTCAAGGGCAGAAAGTCAAGAGAGACTTTAGAAATGTTCAAATGATATACAACAGCTAGGAGCCATCTCTGGGACCTGGATTTTTTTTTTTTTTTGGCTGTACTGGGGTTTGAACTCAGGGCCTACACTTGAGCCACTCCACCAGCCCTTTTTTGTGTTGGGTAGATAGGATCTCACAAACTATTTGCCTGGGCTGGCTTCTAACTGAAATCCTCTTAATCTCTGCTTCCTGATTAGCTAATATTATAGGTGTAAGCCACCAGCTCCTGGAAAATTATGGTCACTATTTTTTTTCTTTTGTGGCACTGAGGTTTGAACTCTGGGCCTCACACTTGCTAGGTGGGCACTCTTACCACTTGAGCCACTCCACCAACCCCTCCTCCTTTATGCTTCTCTCTCTCTCTCTCTCTCTTTCTCTCTCTCCCTTTCCCTCCCTCCTTTTTTTTTGTTGGTACTGGGGTTTGAACTCAGGGCCTTCACCTTGAGCCACTCTACCAGCCCTTTTTTGTGATGAGGTTTTCTGAGATAGCTCTCGAAAACTATTTGCCCTGGCTGGTATCGAACTGTGATCCCGAGATCCTCCTGATCTCTGCCTCCTAAGTAGCTAAGGTTACAGGCATGAGCCACTGGCACCTGGCTCTCCCTCCCTCCTTTCTTTCTCCTTTCTTTTTCTCTCTCTGTATGTTAGATGACAATTACTTACAAAATGCTTGACCACCATCCAGCATCCCAAGCCACAGAAGGGAGACCTAAAGAGGGGTCCCGTAGGGAAGTGTAGAGTCATAAAAGTAGTCATTTGTCTCCCTTCCTTACCCATGTAGAAGATTAAATATAGTGTCAAACTCTGCTACCACTCCCACTGAGAGGTGGTGATGGTTAGTTTTTTGTGTCAACTTACTTATCTAGGTATTGCTGTGAAAGGGTTTTTGTAGATATAGTTAACATCTATAAACTATTGACTTTATTTACTTATTTACTGGGGGGTTGTTTTGCTTTGTTTTGGTTTTGGTTTTGGTTTTGGAGACAGGGTCTTGTTATGTAGCACAGACTAGACCAGAACTCGTAATCTTTCTACCTTAATCTCCCAAGAGCTGGGATTACAGGTGTGATCACCATGCCCATCTCAATTGACACTGAATAAGAGATAACCCTTGATGATGTGAATGGCTGTCATTCTATCAGTTGAAAAGCTCTAAGAGTGAAAACTGGCTTTCTCAGAAAAGAAGAAATAATGCCTCGGGGCTGTAGTCTCAACTTCTACCTGAGTGTCAGCCTGCCACCTGCTAGTCTACAAATTTTGGATTTGCCAAGCCCATAAGTGAATGAGCCAATTCCTTAAAATAAATCCCTTAAGACATGCCAGGCATGTTGGCACATGCCTATAATCACAGTATTTGGGAGCCTAAGGCAGAATTGCAAGTTCTAGGCCAGCCTGGGCTATATAACATAAATGTATGATACATATCGTGAGATAAAAATATATGAATAGACATATTCTGTCATTGTGACAAAATACCTGAGATAAACAATTTATAAGGAGTTAAAGGTTCATTTGGTGGGGGGAGGTGCTGCCAGTGGCAATCCTAACTACTCAGGAGGCAGAGATCAGGAGGATCACAGTTCGAAGCCAGCCTATGGCAAATAGTTCACAAGACCCTATCTCGAAAAAACCCATCACTTAAAAGGGCTGATGGAGTAGCTCAAGGTGTAGGCCCTGAGTTCAAGCCCCAGCACAGAAAAAAAAGAAAGAAAAAAAAAAAGGAATCCCAAACAGTCCAGTGGAGAGGCTCTACCTGAGAAGTATTGAGAACCCCAGGCCATTGCCAGCCATGGAAGCAAGCCATCTCCTTCAGCCTCCAAGAACTAGAGAAAGTCACCCCTGCTGAGCCCTACCCCAAGCCTTCATTTCTACAGTGACAAACAAATTCCTACACTTACAACTTGCTAAACATGAGCCCAGTACAGGGAGGGAGGGGAACAGAGGATGAAGAGAAGGAACAAGAGAGAGAGAGAGAGAGAGAGAGAGAGGAGAGATAACTTACATACAACACTCCCGGCACACTGGCGATATTACCATGGAACCCAGCTATGAGCCTTAGGTCTCTCTGCTCTCTGGTCCATGTATCCATGATGCTCTCTGTATTTCCATGATAAAGAGAAAACTCTCAGGGGAGAATCAAGTGAGGGATTTGGGGTCAGCCAATGGTCAAAGCCAAGCTCTGCCACTCACCAGGTGTGTTTTCTTGAGCAAGCAACTTTTCCTCTCTGAGCCTCACATTCCTCCTGAGTAATAAGGTCACAAGAATAGCCCTACAGGGATTGGAGAATCCAACCAACCTATGGATCTTAATTTGGTTTCCACAGAAGCAGATGAAGTGCAAATACTTTATTTGGAGGTGACCCTAAGACAAGAACTCAATAGCCAGTTGTGTCTTTGGGAGGTGGTCCCAGGAAACACCAGCAGGACGGTGGGAAGTGAAGTGGAAGGGGAGGCAGAAGAGAAAGGGGGCTGGATGAAGGAAGTTTGCACTGTGGGCCAGCCTGGCTCAGTCCTCCTGAGGGCTCTGGGACACAGACAGCCCTGCACACGTGTGTCACAGTCATTCCTCCCAGAGCAAGGGAGCCGAGGTATTTATCCATCCATAGCTACCCCTCAGTGCCAGGGCTGCTTCAGAGGGCTCTGTTTTTCCAGAATGTCCTACCTGCACCTCAGGGGTCAGGCCTGGGGGACAGGGGCAGGGGATAAAAACAGTGGCTCCAGCCATGGGCACAGCCCAGGGTGGCCAGTTACAGCAACTCAGTAAGTGAAATTCCTCTTCTTTGCTCTCAACACACGCAGCCAGGTATGCACACATTAACATACACACATGCACACGCATGTACATGCAGACACACGCGTGTGTACACACATTTACATACGTGCAAGCCTGCATGCACATACATTTATATGTGTGCACACATGCACACAGTCACACACTACCAGGAACGTAGTGCAGGGGGGAGGGGAGGGAGGATGTAGATGGGGTACACTCACCCACAAGCATTGAATCCTTGGGAGAAGAGCCCCTGAGAGCCTGTTGTCTCCTAACCGTCCAGCAGAGGGAGCTTCTTTCACACGTAAGCGAGGAACAAGCCCACACACACCCGCCCCCAGCAGCTAGCCGGGTTTTAAGAATTACACAGGCAGGTGTGGCAGGTTGCCACACGGGGACTTTGTACCTTTGGTCCTTCCGCTCCCATTTGTTCACCCTCACGGTCCTTAGCAGAAATTCAATGTGCTTTGCAAGCATGGTGAAAGATCCACGTGACAAGACAAAGCCCAAGTACAGAGAGGGGTTGTCACATGCTTGCAGAGCCAGCGACAGAACTCACAAATGTTGGTTCCCAAGATCAAGAGATTTGTTTGTTTGTTTTTTGTGTTGTTGTTGGGTTGCTTGGTTGCTTTGTTTTGGTAATACTGGGGTTTGAACTTAGGGCCTCTTGAGCCACGCCCCCAGCCCTTTATGCTTTTGTCACTTTTCAGGTAGGGTCTGGTGTTTATGCCCTTCTGATCTGGACAGCGATCCTCCTACCTGTGGCCTCCCGCGTAACTAGGATTACAATCACAAGCCATCATGCCTGGCAAGACCAAGTTTTTGTTTTGTTTTGTTTTGTTTTGTTGCTGGAGGGTGACAGGGTTGCATCTGGCAGGGAAGGAAGGAGTGGGAGGTGTTTGTCCAGTGATGTGCTCTTGGGGACCCTCACTAAGGACTAGGGTATGGAAACTGCAACTTCAATAAAAGCCTGGTATCTCCGAAAGGACACAAGACCTCAAGTTCCTCGGACCAAAACACGACACTAGGGGACGCCCCCAAGGCACACCTCCCTCAGGGGCCTCTCAGCCTGGCCCCAGCAGAGAAGGACGCAGGATCCTTACTGAGGCCCCAAAGTTTTAAGATATTGTTAAGATTTTGAGTGAGTTGCTTCCCTGTTAAATGAGATAATAAAAAGTGGTCCCATCAATCAGCGTGAGGCTTAAATGAGAATATATGGCACGACCACACAGGAAGCATTCAATCCATTTTGAATCTCATTATTGTCAAATTAACTTTGAAGACCTCTCTTCTCCCCCAGGACTCCTTAAGCCCCATCCCCTTGAGCGCACTCACATTTCCAACTCCTCCCCGGCTGCAGACACACTGACATTCTGATCTCAACTCCTTCCCCCGATCCCCACCCCAAGAAAAGACCAGTTTACTCCACCCTGCAGTGCCCATGTCAACTGACGACAATTCCATGCTTCCAGGGGATCAAACCGAGAGTCCTCACTTTCTCCTGGATCCCAAATTTGATCAGTCAACCGGATATCACTCCTTTCGTGAAACAGTCATTCTAGGAATCCAATCGCCACCATCGTCTCTCAGCTACTGCAATGTAGATACCGCCCCCCCCCCCGATTTTCCCAGTCCCATTCTTGCCTCCCACAGTCTCTATTCTGACATTCCAATAAATCCTGACAAATGGTGTCCATCCTCTGGTTGGAACCCTCCATGGCTCCCATCTCTCTTACAAGAAAGGTTAAAAATCCTTACAGTGGTCTCCAAGGCCCTTAGCGAACTTATTTATTTCTTTACTTATTTATCAGGTAACATATGTTTCCTCTAGGTGTCAAGTGCGCAATGGCTCAAACTGAGCCTGGCTTTCAGAAGATGCTCAATGAATACGGTGTCGGACTGGTGGAGTGGCTCAAGTGGTAGAGCACCTGTCTAGCAAGTGTGAGGCCCTGAATTCAAACCCCAGTGCCACAAATAAATAAATAAATATTGCGTTAATATTATTATGGTTGACATTATCATGGCCTCGTCTTTTATATTCTCTACGTCAGAGGTGATCGAACTGTCTATTCCCCTCAAAGATCTAAGCCATCATCCTTACAACTTCAGTCTCCCCAGCTAGATACTCAAATCCAGTCCCTTCCTGCCTGGACCTCAACCCTTCTTCCCCAGGACCTCAACCTGCAGTGTATTCCACCTCCCTGCCAGTCCCAGATCTAATCATGTCCTGCCCTGCCCCTGCTCAGACACCTTCCAAGACTCCCTACTGCTTTCCATATAAAGCTTGCCCACCACCCTTCCTCAACTCTTCTCACACCCTCTAGATCCAACTACCTTGGCCCCTCTGAATTTTTAGAACAAACCATGATCTCTCTTAACTCCCAGCATTTGCAGAAGCTATTATTACTGCCTGGAATTCTTTTCCCTTCCCTGTCACCCACTCTTATTCTTTAGACTAGAGAAATTCTCCCTGACATTCTCCCCCACACCCCCATACTCCTGTGATATTCACCCAACACCACCAGGGGCTTCACCTCTGAAGCACTTGCCACGGATTGTAAGTAATCACTTATGTGTGGAATTACTTGTTATAACATCTGTCTCCCACTCTCTGCGAGGGCAGGAATTGGGCTTGACTGTGCTCCTGACCCCATGTCAGTAGACATTAAATTAATGCGCAATCTATCGACAAATAGAGCTAATGTACAAACTCTCCCCCAAAAATCTGAGTTTATGTCCTAGGACAAAGGGTTTCCCAGCCTCCTAGCCCACACACAGTCGCTTCCCAGCTGTCCAGAACCCTTCCTTTCTATTCTGGACTCCAGGGTGGCTGGGCTAGGAGGTGGAGAAAGGTAGGGAATGTCTCAGTCCCTTTGCTTTTATTCTTAAAAAATCAGAATACTCTGCAGTGGGCCTTTGAGCAAGGAAGGCAGGAAGGGGCTTCCGAGGGTCCAGATTTATAAAACAAAAGGAAACAGCCCAAGTTCTGGGATGTCGCCTGAGCAGTCCACCAGTACGAGTTGAAGATGTGCTGTCGGAGTTAGGGCTCCGACCTCAGGCTCCTGCTTCCAGAGTCCTCAATTTAGAAACCAGCCTGGGTCCAGCCAGAGTCCAGGAGGTGAGTCTTCAGACCGCTCTGTGGACGGAGTCTGCTAACCTGAGTCCCCAGCGGCGTGGCCTGAGGACAGTCCTCGATATCTTGAGGGCGGGGCCTGAGCCCGGGGGGGAGGGGTCGAGCCTGCTCCCTCAAACAGGAGAGCAAATGCGGGAACTCAGGGGGCGGGATCAAACCATCAGGGTCGGGGCCTTGCCTTGAGGGGCGTGGCCAGCACTCTAGGTTGCTGAAGGGCGGAGCCTGATCCTTCAGGAACAGAGCCTGGACTTCGAGAGGCGTGGCCTGCGTCCAAGGGGATCTTGGGGGCGGGGCTTGTTTCCTAGGGGCGGGGCCTGGCCCTGTGGGCGGGGCCTGGCGCGCGGGAGCTCAGGCCCGCGGAGGCAGCGGCTCCACGTTGAGCCAGATGCCACTCTCGGTGCGAAGGATGAGCTCCGGCTTCCGCCGCACCTTGCGTGTTCGGTCGACACTCAGGCGGAAACGCAGCAAAGTCAGCGCCACGGCCACCCGCATCTCAGCCATGGCGAAGCTCTGTCCGATGCAATTCCTGAAGAAAAGGCTAAAGTGAGGTCCTGAGAGTCGCGAAATAAATGTGACTTCGAGGGTTCGAATCCTGGTGCAGCCTCCTACTTGCTGTGCATCCCGGGGGAATAACCTCCCTCTCTGAGCTTCAAGTCTCTCACCTGTAAGTTGGGGACAGTGGCATCCTAGAGCTGTGGGAAGTATGTTGAGTCCAGAACTCGGGGTCTGGCACACACTAAGTGCGCCCTGCATTTAAGGATGATTTGAGGGGTGCAGAGAGGATTTAGGTTGTTAGAAATTACACGTGGTCTCTGTGATGGGCACGCCCTTGACCTTCCACCTGCTCTGTTCCCTGAACACATGGCTTGGACTGGGGAAAATAGAGGCGTTACCTGGGTCCTGCCGAGAAGGGTATGTAGGCCAGCGGGAGAGCGCTGCTGTGGATTGTCGGGGTCAAAGCGGTAAGGGTTGTACACCTAGACAGGAACAGCCTTGGGGTGAGTCTAGGGAGCTTTGCCCTCCCTCGGCCTCTTGGACTTAGCAGCTGGAGAGAAAGCGCCTTTGCTCCCTTCTACCCCCGACTCACTGCAATCCAGCCATGCCTGCCTCCTTCCTCCGTAGGCCTGCCAGGCTCATGCCTTCCTACCTCAGGGCCTTTGCACTTGCTGTTTCCTTTGCTTGGAACACACTTCTCCCTGCTCTTCACACCCTTCAGGTCTCAGCTCAAACATTTTTTTCCTGGCAAGGGCCTTTCCTGAACACCTGAGCTAATGGGTCTCCTCCCCCCATGCACTAATTTTTATTTCTTTGGGGCATTTATCAGTCCTCAGAATCATCTTGTTTATTTGCTTATTGGAAAAGGGAGGTCTCACTGCCCTGGGGCTCCCTCTTCTGGGGAGGAGAGAAGAAGAAGGGCTGGGGCAGGAGTTCACCTTGGAGTCAGGCCACACTGTGGGGTTGTAGTGGGTCCCATAGATGCTGATCAGGCAGATGATTCCTGTGGGGACGGATGGCATCAGTGGGTTAGAGAGAGGCAAGTCTTTCTCTGGAGACATCCCCCTCCCCAACTCTCCCTGGAGCCATGGCATTCTTGTGAGCCATCTGCCACAATTTCCTATCCATCCTTCCCTGGAAAAGCCTGCTGTCTGATTTCTCCCCATGCCTCTCCTTAAGAAGCCCCCACAGCCACCCACTCACAAATGTGGCATTATTCCTCACCTCAACCATCTGCCTTGGTTCCCTACTGCCATCAGAATGGAGTTCAAATGCCTGCACCTGACATTCAAGGCCTTTTACAATCTATATTCTGAGGCTTGGCTCCATAAACATGCTTGCTCTTTCATCTTCAACTTCTAAGACTGGCCTCCGCCATTGCTTCCTCCAGGAAGTCCTCCTGGCATTCCTCCACAGGATGAAGCCATCCCTCCATATTTTGGGCTTCTGCAGTTCTTGTCTCCTCCTTTAGCTCCCATCTGACCCCATGTGGCTGGAAATGTCTGTGCCCTGCTGTGTCTCCCCACAAACTGGGTGATACTCAAGGTATGGGCCTGGAAATGAGACTCTTAAGATTCCCAGCTCACCCAAAACCAAGCTTAGACTCCATAACATTGCTGTCAATCAAAAGAAAGCAACCCTCCCAGAGCCACCCCTACCTCACTGACTCCTTTCTTTCTACCTGGGCACACTCACCTCTCTTTCCCCCACATGCAACTTTGTTTCCCGCATCACCCTGAAAACAACAGGCATACAGAGAGGTTCCCCATTTGGAGTAACCGTGCTCCTGGGTCAGGCATTGCCAGGCCCCTGTGGCCACAGAACAGCCACGCCTCCTGTGGTGGGGCACAAAACAGGCACCTTTGGGGATGATGCGCCCATCTGGGAGCTTGATGTCCTCCGTGCAGCGGCGAGAGATGAGGGTGACAGGCGGGAACTGGCGCAGGCTCTCCTTGATGCACATGGTGGTGAAAGGCAGCTGAGTCAGGTCGTCCCTGGAGGGAGTAAAACAGTGACTTCCCCAGAGACATGGACACACACACACACACACACCAGCGGCAGCAGCAGCAGCAGGGCAGCAAACCAGTCCAGGGGTTCAGAACTGCCCCTGGACTGACACTGTCATTTGCAATAGTTCCAGATAGGTATCAGAAAACTCAGGATGCAAAATATCCCACCAGGGCTGGGGGCGTGGCTCAAGTGGTAGAGTTCCTGTCTAGCAAGTGGGAGGCCCTGAGTTCAAACGCTAGTACCACATAGACAGAGAGAGAGAGAGAGAGAGAGAGAGAGAGAGAGAAACAGTGAGCAATCAGAATAACTAACCAGTAGGGCCCAGCATTAGTTCTATGATTAATGAATTCTGTGGCACCCAGGGGAGGTGCCAGGACACCAGAGGACCTCAGAGAAACAAGTGTTCTAGGTCATATGGGTCCATTTCAGTGGTTTTTTTAATTTTATTTTTGAGACGGTCTCATTATACAGCCCAAGCTGCCCTCGAACTTTCAAGTGCTGGGATTGCAGTTGTGTCACCAACTTGCCTCTGCCTCCCAAGTGCTGGGATTGCAGTTGTGTCACCACGTCCAGCTACTTCATAAGTGTTAAATTGTATACTGTTGCCAGGTGCCGGTGGCTTACTCCTATAATCCTAGCTACTCGGGAAGCAGAGATCAGGAGGATCATGGTTTAAAGCCAGCCAGGGCAAACAGTTTGCAAGACCCTATCTTGAAAAAAACCCATCACAAAAAAAAGAGCTGGTGGAATGGCTCAAGGTGTAGGCCCTGGATTCAAACCCCCATACTGAAAAAAAACATCGTACACTGTTCTGAGTAACAGATAGAATCTCAAGCCATCTCACTTTGTCCCTCCTGGGATCTGAGTCACCTCTTTGCCCAGTGTATCCACGGTGTATATGCTACTCACCGATTAGGCACTTAGTAGCCATCACAGTGCTTGCATATAAAGCTCAGTACTATCTATGGAGGCGGGGGAGGTCTTAGAAAGTGTCTTTCAAGGATAAGGGAGTCTCCTGTAGTATTATTTGCTTATTTTTTCCTTTGGAATTCAGGACCTCAAATTGGATTAATTATAACTCATTGGCTCATGAGCTAGATCAGTTTCTTTAAATCATCAAGTTATCTTTTTTTTAAAAAAGTGCATGTTGCTACCATAAAGGGCACAGCCTCCTTGACATAATGGTACACTATATATAAATACCACTGGGAGTCAGGTGCCGGTGGCTCACACCTGTAATCCTAACTATTTGGGAGGCTGAGATGGGGAGGATCAAGGCTTGAGGCCAACCTGGGCAAATAGTTTGCAAGACTTCATCTCCAAAATAACCAAAGCAAAATGAACTTTAGGTGTGGGTCAAGCAGTAGAGTACCTGCTCTGCAAGTATGAAGTCCTAAATTCAAACCTCAGTCCCATCAAACATATATACTACTGAGAAATGAGAAGAAAAATTAAACTGTGATTAGACACCATCTTCTGTTGGGTTCTCCAAACCTGAGACATCATCTCCTTTTGTTAAAAAGGCAGATTAGCAAGGTGTTTCAGGATGTATGTAGTGGTACCCTGAGGTCATAATGCAAAAGGTTGAAGGTTGGAGGAGTGGCTCAAGTGGCAGACTGCCTGCCTAGCAAGTGTGAGGCCCTGAGCTCAAACCCCAGTACCATTAAAAAAAAAATGGAACTTTCTCACTGTGCTACTTAATGCTGTGTTTTCTTTGCATCAGTCAGAATCATCCCTGCACAGCACACATCTGAGAAAGTCTAGAATCTTAATTCTTCACTTCTGTGTATTAAAATTGTACACCTGTATCCTTTGCCTGCATGTCTGCAGTGCCTTCTGCTAGTATGTGTCCTGCCCCATTCATATTATGTCTTTTTTTTTTGGTAGGACTGGGGTTTGAACTCAGGGCTTCAACTTGTAAAGCAGGCACTCCACTACTTAAGCCACATCTCCAGTCCTTATGTTGGGGTTTTTATGCTTCTGAAATCTATGTTGAGAAGAACATGCCCCAGGTACCTTCTGATCAAAAGACAGGGAGGAGACATATGGAAGAAACCTGAACCCAGCCCACAGTTTGGAAGCAATCCCACTCAACTTAGCCCAGCCCAACAACCACAAGAGTAATGTGCAGACCAGAGCAATAAATAAATGCCTGCTGCAAACCACTAAGTTCTGGGGATGTTTGTTATGCAGCATGATTCTAACAATTGCTGCTGATGTAGGCAGTAGGCATCAAGACCATCCCCCTTACAGATGAAGAAATTGAAGTTCAAAAAGCTTAAGTGGCTTGTCTAAAGTCACACAATCATGAAATGGTAAAGCAGAGATTCATGCTCAAAGCTCTGGCCCCGACCCGCTTCCTTCAGCCTCCGACCACCCGCACTGACCACTCCAGTTCCTCCAGCTCCCGGCCTCTCATGACTTCCTGGATCTCTTCCCGGCACTTCTCCTGGTATTCAGGGTACTTTGCCAAGTTGAACAGCACCCACGACAGCCCACTCGATGTTGTGTCATGACCTGCAGGCATGCAGTGACCAGGCAAGCAGTTGTAAACACTTGAGTGTCCCCCACATGGACAATTGTGCCCCTTCCCATCCTCCTTCAGCCTCACCCCATGTTCTCACCCTCAAACATGAAGGTGTCTGCCTCAGCACGGATGTCCTCGTTGGACAGTTCCTTTCCCTCTTCATCCTGGAACAGGCAGTTGAGGACTTTCAGCCTACTTAGTCCCACCCCCTAAATTTTAAGGACTCCCCCAAAGTCAGGTCTGTCTGCCCCTCTCTTTTTTTTGTTGCTGCTGGGTGTGGTGGCTCACACCTGTAATCCCAGTTACTTAGGAGGCAGAGATCAGGAGGATCACAGTTAAAGGCCAATCCAAGCAAAAGTTTCTCTGAGATCCCATTCTTTTTGTGTGTGTGGTACTGGGGTTGGAACTCGAGGCCTACACCTCGAGCCACTCCATCAGCCCTTTCTGTGATTGGTTTTTTTCAAGATAAGTTCTCGTGGAACTATTTGCTCAAGCCAGTTTTGAACCTCGATCCTCCTGGGTAGTTAGGATTACTGGCATAAGCCACTGGCACCCAGTCTGAGATCCCATCTTAAGCAATAAAAGCTGGGCATGGTGGCACATCTGTCATCACAGCTACTTGGGAAATGTAAATAGGACGATTGTGATCCAGGCCACCCAGGCCTAAAAGTGAGACTCTGTTTGAAAAATAGCCAAAGCAAAAAGAGCTGGCCATGTGGCTTTAGTGGAAGTGCCTCTGCCTAGCAGGCACAAGACCCTGAGTTTGAACTCTAGATCTGCCAAAAACAAAGTCCATTAAGAGGCACTACCAAAGGGCTAGGGGTGCAGCTCAGTGGTAGAGCATTGCTAGCAGGCATGAAGCCCTGGTTTCCTCATTATCACAAACAAAATAAAATAAATATAAATAAAATTACATAGTATTTGATTGAACCTACAAACACCCTCTTGTAGACTTTAAAAGTCTAGGAGACTTAGAATACTTAATACAGTCAGGTATGGTGCTTCACACCTGTAATTCCAGTACTGGAGAGGTGGAGGCAAGAGGATCATGAGTTCAAGGCCAGCCTGGGCTGCATAGATCCTGAATCAAAAAAAAGAACAAATACCTAATACAATCTAAGTACTATTGCTATGGACACAGTTGTTACACTATATAAAGGAATGATGAGAAGAAAAACGTCTGTACATGTTCAATACAGAAAGAATTTTTTTCCAAACGTGTCAATCTGAGGATGGTTGAATCTGCAGATGAGGAACCTGCAGGTACAGAGGGAAGACCGACTGTCTACATTCAAGTGCACAAGGCACCTTCTGCTCGATCGACACATGCTAGGCCATTAAACTACCTCAGATCATTTAAAAGGATCGGGATACTTTGTTACAGCGACTCAGCTAACTCATACAGTCTTAACACACCTGCATCTGACTCCTTCCTAGATCGAGGTGAGCTCCTGCTTTCGTGTACCAGTTGGTGCAATTCCCCGGATGGCCGCTAGGGGCCCCGCCTCACCTTGGCCAGGAGCAGCACATCAATGAAATCCAAGGTCTTGCCCTGCTTGGCCTTCAGCCAGGCCTCAGCACCCTGATGGCGCAGCGACTGCCGCCGCTCCTGAATGACCTCGGTGGTGAAGCGGTGCACGGTGTCGCAGGCCTGGCGGAAGCGCCGCCCGTCGGCTGTGAGGTAGTAGATGAAATCCAGGTGGTGATGTACACGATACTGGCGCCTGACAACCAGTGCACTCAGTTCAATGATGGCTGATAAATAATCACTCATCTTCCTGGCAGGAAGAAGAAGAGCCATGAGTGTAGGGCTATCCACCTGTCTGGCCCATCCAGATGCACACGGCTTGGCTAAGATAAACCTCTTAAGATAAGATCCCTTAATTTATTTATGGGGGGAAGGGAGTGCTAGGGATGCAACCCAGGACCTCGTGCATGCTAGGCAAGCACTGTATCACTGAGCCACACCCCTGGCTTCACAATGGATAGTCAATGAATGAAGGAACCAGGGTGATGTGTTCATTCAACAAATATTAACAGGCCTAAGGGGAGGAGAACTGTCATATATTCCATTTTATCCTTAAAGCATCTCTTAGACAGCAAGATGTGTCATCTTTGTTCAACAAACAAGGAAACTGACACTCAGAAAGTGGGAATGGAAGCCTGGCATTGGTGAGGCATGCCTGCTCAGGAGGGTAAGACAAGAAATCACAAATTCAAAGCCAGCCTGGCTCAAGTGGTATGGCACCTGTCTAGCAAGTGGGAAGCCCTGAGTTCAAACCTCAGTACTGCCAAATTTTGCTACATAGCAAGACTCTCTCAAAAAATAAAAATAAAAAAGGCAAGGTGTGGTGATTCATGTCTATAATCCCAGCTACTTGGGAGGCTGAGATCGGGAGGATTGCAGTTTGAGGCCAACCTAAGCAGAAAGTTCACAAAATGAACTTTCAATCATTTCATGATTTTTCACAATCATTAAAAATCTGGGCACAGTAGCAAGCTAGCATCCTAGCTACAAGGGAAGCTTAAATAGAATAATTGCCATCCAGGCTGGCCCTGGCAAAAAAGTGAGACCCTATCTGAAAAATAACTAAAGCAAAAAAGGGCTTACAGCATGACTTAATAGCACAGCATCTGACTGGCAAGTTTGAGGCCCTGAATTCAAGTCCTAGTACCACAAAAAAAAAAAAGAAAAGAAATAATGTGGACACTTTCCAAACACTGCATGCTCTTTGTGCAGGAATGTGGGAAAGTAGCCATTGACTCATTTAATTCTCATGCAATGATTATGGAGAAAGAATTATGATGTCCAATTTTTGGAAAGGGAAACTGAGGCTCGGAGAGGTGATATCATTTCTCTTGGAGCCACCTGGCCCATTGGTGGCTGAGCACCTGGGGCCCAGGTTCCCCTTCTCCTCCCAGAACCTTGCCTCTGGAGCAGCTGGCTCCATGTTCCCCAGGGAGGTCACACTCACTCCTGGCAGTTGCTGTTGTGACTGAACACGCATTTCTGAAGACTGTCTAGGGTCATGAGGCTGACATGCTCAAACATGTCAAAGGCCACAGAGCCCTCTGCCAGATGCTGTCTCCATTTAGCCTGGAAGAGAGACACAGGGCAGGTGGGTATGGAGACTGCAGGCACAGGTACCTGGCTACATCCCAGCAAGTGAGGCCTCCTGACATTTCATGATCACCCAGAAGTTGGAGCCTGGACCAGTGTCCACTCCCCAGCACTCAGCCCCAGGACTCACATGCATTACATCGGTGCATTGGTTAAAGATCTTCATGTAAGGCTTCAGGATGTCAAAGTGGAAGGCGGGTGTCAGCAGGCGGCGGTGTTGGGTCCACTTATCACCTTTGCTAAGCAAAAGCCCATCCCCTGGGACCGGAAGACTGAGGTTAGGGGCCTCTCCTGTTCCTCTGAAACCCTCCAGGAAGACTTAGGCTCTGCCCTTCTGTTACCTGAATCCCCAGTCCCAGCCTACCCGTTGGCACTCACCTAGCCAAGGCTTCAGGAAGCTGTAGAAAAGATCGTCCTTGGGAGCAATAGCAGCTGTGTAGAAAAAAGAGGCAGTGATATACCAGAAAACCCTATTGTCATCACATGATGTCGCTCACCTCCAAACCTGTAGCAAGGTTAAGTTTTTCCATAAGAATGGAATTATCTACTGGTCCTCCCCTCCTTTTCTGTCAGCCCAGGCTGGCCAAATTATACCTCCTGTGCTCCCCACCTCCAGCCTCACCTTCCCTATCTGTCTGTCATGCTTGCCCACGGGGGATCTTATCTGTGACATCTGCCAGAGTCTCTCCCAGCTCTCACACCTGTCACCCTCAAAGAGCAGTGATCCAGCCCATTTTCAAAGCCCCGTGTGCAGACCTCTCTCAAGATGGACACCTCTGTCCTCCAGCCTCCTCCCACTCAACACCACTGAGCAATGTCACAGAGCTTTTCTCAGCTTCTCTCAAAGACCATGTCCCTTTCTGCTCCAAGTCTTTCTAGCAGAAAGCTGCCCCAGCACTTCACCCTCAGCTTTGGGTCTCAGTGTGGATGCTGCTCCCCCAGTCCCACCATCACACTGGGTTGTTTGCATCTAGTTATGACACTTTGCAGGAGAGACCATGGTGATCATTGACATTTGGTGCAAAAGAAAGTTAGATGGGCACCTGTGGCTCATGCCTGTGATCCTAGCTACTCAGGAGGCAGAGATCAGGAGGATCATGGTTCAAAGCCAGCCCCAGGCAAATAGTTCCTGAGAGCCTGTCTCAAAAAAGGGCTGGTGGAATGGCTCAAGGTGTAGACCCTGAGTTCAAACCCAGTGCCACAAAAAAAAGAGAAAGTTTTATTCAATGAATGAATCAATCAATCAAAGGATGACTGAGTGAAAGAATAAATTAATGGATGGATGGATGGATGGATGGATGGATGGATGGATGGACAGCTTTGGGACTAAGTAGGGAAGAGCCCAAGAAGGAAGTGTCTGAAACACCAATGATGTCATCTATACCTGAATATGACTCAGCCACACTCCCCAGGAGTTGGCCAATTGGATTCATAGTCACCCTCCCATTCAATTCACCCCTCTGCTGCCTCTCTGTGCCCAACCCATGCTGAGTGAGGCTGGGGACCCAGAAATGGCTCAGCAACACACCCTGCCTGGGCAGGGTGGGAAAGGGAAGCAGAGGCACGTACCATGCAATTATCAAGAAGGTAGAAAGTGTGCCAGGTGCTAAAGGAGCCACAGAGGAAGAGCTACTGGAAGTTAGAGCAGGCTTCCTGGAGGATATGACATTGAGGAAGGTGGGAGTCAAGTCACTCCTCTCCTCTCTGGGCTTTGGGCTCCAGGCTGGGAGCTTCAGGGGTCTTTCTGATACCTAGATCTGGTCAATGGCTGTCCTCCTCAAGCACCTCCTATGGCTTCCTATTATCCTTAGGATAAGGTGTGTGTTCATTCATCATTTTTCAATCCAGCTCCTGCTTAACTCTCAGTCTCAGTTCCTACTTCCCCACACACATCACCTCCACTCCAGCCAGCCCAGGTCACCTGAATTGCCCTGGCACTTTCCCACACTGGCAGCTTTGGATTGACAGGTCCCTACATCTAGGACTCCTCATCTGGCAAACTCCTATGCATCCTTCAAAGCCCAGCTTTACTAACACTCCCTCCAGGAAGCCTTTTCCAAGCTTCTCCCCAGCTGAACCTTTGCTCCTCCCCGTCTCCAACTCTGACCCTTAATGCCAGGACAGTCTGTGTCCAGGCTCCCTCTCCCACCAGTTTCTCCCTCTAGAAAAAAAAAAAAAAGGTAATGCCTACCCAGGAGGAAATCACAGGAGAAAAGCCCTCACAAGGTGCCCAGCATACAGCAACTCTTTCACACAGAGTCATATATCCCTATGATTGACAGCTTGGTGGAGGGTCAAACCCTAGCCCTGCCACTAACTAATTGTATTAACTTAGACATGTTACCATCTTCTCACCTGCCAAAGGAGGAAATAAAATAACCTGGCCTTGTGGCATCCCTACGGGACTCAACAAGTGTGTTTCTGGCACATGGTAAATGCTCATTAAGTATGGGTGTACACCAATGAAAAATCAGCCAACTCCTGGTTACTTTGTTACTCTCATAATTGTTGCTTATTGGCATCAAAGAATGGTGAGGTGAATACCCAGGTCTCCTATCAGTAAAAAATGAATGCTCAGCCATGGGGGACAGTGGAAAGAAGGTTCTTTAGAATGTTAATTATAGGCTTGGTGTGTAGCTCAGTGGTAGGGAACTTGCCTAGCAGGTGAGAGGCCCTGGGTTCATTTCTGGGTGGGTGGATGAGCCATTTGGCATGACTCAAATGGTAGAGTCCTGAATTCAAATCCAACTGTCAGAGAGAGATACATATACAGAGTTTTTCTCTTGTGTGTCAATGTTCAGAGCTGCATATTCGTCACAACCAGAGGTAGATATAACTCAGTGGATAAAATGTCCACAAGTTGTGGTCTAGCCAGACAATGCAAAACTACTCAGCCATAAAAATAATCCTGCAGTCCTGATGCATGCCACAGTGGGGCTGAGCCTTGCAAACATGGTGCTGAGTGAGAGAAGCCAGACACAAAAGAATCCAGAGTATGTCAGTCTGTAGAGACAGACATACAGTAGAGGTTCCCAGGAGAGAAATGAGATGTGATTACACGGTGAACACCAGGTATTTTAAGGCATGATTAAAACACTGAAACTAGTGCTTGCACAACCTTGTGAGTACAGCAAATCCATTGATTGCTCACTTTATAATGGTGACTTGTATGCTGTGTTAATTTCACCTCAATTAAAACCAAATGTAAGATGGGCGTGGTGGCACAGGTTTATAATTCCAGCACTTGGGAGGCTGAGAGAGGAGGGACATAAGATCCAGGCAAGCATGAGCTACATAGGCACGACCCTGTCTCAAAAAACCATGGGGAGCGGGGCGGTGGGGGGAGGGATAAAGGAGAAAAGGAGAATGGTGGAGGGGAAGAAATCAAATATGAAACATTTAATATATTATAAGAACTTTTGTAAACGCTACAATGTGTTACTACCCAGCATGACAATTTAAAAAAATGGAAAAGTAGAAAAAAAAAAAAAACCAGAAGAGACCTGGGCACCAGTGATTCGTGCTGTAATCCTAGGTACTTGGGAGGCTGAGTTTGGGAGGATCGCAGTTTGAGACCAGCCTACACAAATAGTTCTCCAGACCCTATCTCCAAAATAACCAGAGCAAAATGGACTGGAGGAGTGGCTCAAGTGGTAGAGAGCCTGCTTTGCCAGTGGGAAGCCCTGAGTTCAAACCCTCAGCCCTACCAAAATAAAAGGAAGAAGAAAAGAAGAGGAAAAACCTTTATTAGCACCTACCCAGATTATGTAATTTTGTTTGGGTCTGTGTGTGTGTGTTGCTGAGGTTCAAACCCAGGGCCTTGTGCATGCCAGGCCTGCACCCCACTGCTGAGCTATGCTCCCAGACCTCACATCATTGAGTCCTGTTGTCTGTCTCCATTTTACAGATCAGAAACTGAGTCCCAGAGGAACTAAATCAAATGCAAGCATCATTACACACCCAGAATGTGCCAAAGCCAGGATTTTGAGCCCAGTCCCCTGGATCCTGGCCAGGGGCTAGGGCCTAGATTCTGCCTTAGTTCAAAGTGGGGTCATTGTCCCTGTACAGATGAAGTGATGGGGGGTGAGAGTAACTGGGGAAGAGAGAGATAGCATGCCTTCCTCTCTCAAAACTCCTGGTGGCAGCCTTGAGGACAGTCTCCAGATCTATGTTTGTAAGGCCCAAGCTGGGGTCTGAGAGTCTAATTCCTGGAGTTCTTTCTTTCTCATCCTGCACTTTCTTGAATGTGCCCTGTTGGCTGTGGAGAGGCCCAGCTCCTTGCAAAGCCTTACAGGGAATCTAGCACCCCATTTCTGAGGAAGACAGAGCTGGATACAGATTCACCTGCTCCTAAGGGATTAGGATTCAGCATGGGAAAGTCCAGAAGAAAGAGCTGTGCTCGGTCTGCAGAGCCAGAGAAGGCTTCCTGGAGGCGGGGCTTGTAGGAACTGGGTGTTGAAGGATGAGTAAGCGCTCACCCCTTGGGATAGGTGTGGACTATGGAAAGGAAGAGCAAGCCTTCCACATCTCCTGTCCTGCCAGTGGAGATCAGTCCAGCTGATGAAAGCAGGCTGGGCTACCAAAAGCCCTGGTCATGGTAGGAATGCCACGACACAAACAATGGAAGTATTATGACCTGGAATGACACCTTTTTTTAACAAAACTGTAGGTGAACAAATGCCTACCTGAATGTACTTGGATCTGACTTCCAAGTAGGTGGAAAGTTCCTGGGATTCTTAGACCTTGTCCATGTTGCTCTCATAGCCTGCCTCACTATTCCTAGTTGGTGAACTCCTATTCATCCCTCAAAGCCCTACTGAAATGTCTCTTCCTCTTGAATGCCCACCCGCCTACAACAACAGGTGGATTTTAGGACTTGAGGGTACCACTCATCACTGAGAGGCTCAGTCTGCCTACCTGAGGCACCCACCACAGGCTTGATGTAATCAGGGTGTACTAGAACCAAGAGAGGCAGGACAGGTCCAACCCACACCAGGATCACATGATGTATGTTATCTAGCACCTTCTTCTCATCCTGAAGGCCGGTCTCATTCGGAAGAAACTGCAGGGGAAAGGGAGGGGCAGTGAGGATATGCCCAGCCCCAGTTTCCCCTGCCCCACTCCCCTGCCCCGTCTCCTCCCTAGAGACAAGCCCAGAAGTCTGAAGGACCCTAGGAAGTCAGAAGCATCTTATTGAGCCCCTACCTCCTTATCTGAGAAATGGGGAACAATGAACCCTCTCTTGGAGGGCAGCCAGAGGATTAAGGAAAGAAAGAACCCCAGCACGGGGCCTGACATAGGCTCGCCATGACTCAAGTGGTAGAGACCCCACCTAGCAAGCTGAATTCAATCCACAGTTCTGCTTTAAAAGAAAAGACATAAAGTTAGTAACCAGACAGGTGTGTGGCACACCTGTAATCCTAGCTACTCTACAGGTGGATGTAGGAGGATCGAGAGTTCAAAGCCAGCCAAGTAAAGCTATTAGGCATAACTAATTGAGAGGCATCACAGTTTGAAGCCTGACCCAAGCAAATGGTTTGTAAGACCCTATCTTGAAAATATTCAACACAAATAGGGCTGGCGGAGTGGCTCAAGGGGTAGAGTGCCTGTTGTAGCGAGTGCTAGGCCCTGAGTTCAAACCCCAGTTCTGCCAAAAAAAAGCATTTGGAAAGAAAATCTAAAAATGATAATGGCTGGGGCTGCTGGGCCCTGGTGGCTCATGCCTGTAATCCTAGCTACTCTGGAGACAGAGATCAGAAGGATAACGGATCTAAGCCAGCCCAGGCAAATAGTTCAAGAGACCCTATCCACCCCCAAAAAAACTCACACAAAGGGGCTGGTGAGGTGGCTCAAGGTGTAGGCCCTAAGTTCCAACCTCACTACAGAAAAAAAGGGGAGGGCTGGGGGGGGGCATGTAACTCAAGTGGCGAGTGCTTGCTTAACATGTATAGCCCTGGGTTGAAACCCTAGCGTTGAAAAAAAAAAAAAGAAAAAGAAAAAAAGCTGAGGTCACTGCTATTATTGTACCCATTTGATTTTGCTTAGAAAAGTCAAATGAGCCAGGTGTTGGTGGCTGACACCGATAATCCTAGCTACTTGGGAGGCTGAGATAGGGAGGACCTCCGTTCTAGGCCAGCCTGAGGAAATACCTTGTGAAACCCTATCTCTAAAAATAACCATCTGCTTTGCAAGAGCAAAGTCCTGAGTTCAAACCCCAGTCCCACGAAAAAAAAAGAAAAAAAGTCAAATGGCCTACCTGAGGTTACAAGTGTGTGTCTGGGTTTGGGTTCCCCAGAAGTAGGTCCTGTGCTGAGAGTTCTAGGGCAAATAGTTTATTTGGGAGATGGTCCCCCAAATGTGAACAGGGGTACAGGGAAGTAGGGCAGGAGGGAAGGCAACCAGGAGAGGATAACTTGTCAAGGGTGGTAGGACACCCCAAGAGTGGGGCACCCAACTTCCCAGCAGCCCTCCTGAGGGGAGGTAGCTGCGGCAGTGATCTGCCGAGGCCCGTCCATCTCCTAGACATTCATTCCCAAGCTCTCTGATGGAAGCCTCTAGAAGGCTGGTGGTAGCAGTCAAAAATTGGGTATCCCACCCACAAACGGGAGAAGAATATGGGCAGGTGTGGCATCCTAGGCTACAGTGGCAAAGCCAGAATCAGAACCCAGGCCCCAAGTTCTAATTCTTCCACTTTTTGCTGTTATAGTTTGTTTTGGCACACACCTCTAATCCCAGCTACTGTCGGAGGTAGAGACAGAAGGATCAAGATCCAAGGCCAGCCCTAGGCAAAAAACTCCAAACCCTACCTAGTTCAAATAACTAAAGCAAAAATAGCTGAAGGGAAGATGGAGGGGGGACTCCCAGCACCTCAAAAAGCAGACAAAGACATTCTTTGAGCTATGAAGTAGAAAGTCAGCTCTGCCTCCTTCCATCTGTGTGACTTTGAGCAATCTGCCTGCCCTCTCTGATCTTCAGTCTCTACTCACAACCTCAGCCAGATTCTCCAAAGCCGGCCAGCCCACTCAGCACCCTTATGGAAACCCCAAAACCTGTCCATCCCTGCCCAACCACACTCACCATGCCCAAGTGGCCCAGCAGCCAGTTGCGCCTGGGCGGCTGTGGGAAGCAGCGCAGGCGACGGCAGGTGACATGGAAGCGCCAGCAGAGTCCGAGAAACTGCAGCAGCAGGCGGAAGAGGAAGAAGAGCAGGGAGAGGAGTAGGGCTGACACGGTGTAGATGCGGAATGCTGTCTTTTCCAGCCCAAGGAGGTGCAGCAGGTGGTCGGTGATGGGTAGCATCCTAGGGACACACGGGGGGTCAGTGCAAGTGGGAACCACCCTCCAGCCCCTCATGGGCCATGCACTCTAGGATCCGAGGGGTCCATCTTCATCCCCAGCCTTGACTTTTACAGGGAACTCCCCTCTACCTCTCTGCCATAGGGTTTTCTCTTCCTATGCACAGCTGACAGAGTTCTGGGACACTCAGAACCCTCCCAAAGGAGTAGCTTTTGGGCCGGCAGAGTGGCTCAAGCAGTAACAGTCCAGGTTTGGCAAGTGTGAGGCCCTGAGTTCAAACCCCAATGCTGCCAAAAAAAAAAAAAAAAAGGAGCAACTTTCAACCAATGAGTGATGTACATTGGTGCATCAATATCCTGACTTCCCTCCCTCTGTCTCACTTCTAGCCTCTTTTTCTTCTTTATTTTTTTTCAATTGAAGTCAGATTCACAAAACACAACATTAGTCATTTTAAACTGAGCAATTTACACAATGAAATATTATTCAACCATTAAAAAGATGATGTTCCAGCTAGGTTCAGTGGCTCGAATCTATAATTCTAGCTACTCAGGAGGTGGTAATCAGGAGGCTCTCAGCTTCAGGTCAACCAGGGCAAAAAGTTAGCAAGACCCCCTCAATAAACAAGGCTCATATAGTGATCATGCCTATAATCCCATCTACACAGGAGGCACAGGTAGGAGGATCAGGTCTGAGGCTGGCGGTTCAAAAGCATGAGACCCTATCAAAAAATAACTAAGCTAGGTACCAGTGGCTCACACCTGTAATCCTAGCTACTCAGGAGGAAGAGATCAGGAGGATTGGGTTCAAAGCCAGCCCAGGCAAATAGTTCACAAGACCCTATCTCGAAAAAACCCATCACACAACAGTTGGCAGTAGTGGCTCAAGGAGTAGCCTAGCAAGCATGGGGCACTGAGTTCAACACCCGGTACCATTAAAAAAAAAAAGGTATGAAACTACCTAAAATTAAGCACAAGAAGCTCCAAATTCTGAGTCCCAGGAAGACACTTGGAACTGGTGATACTGATGCGCCACTGGGCTGGCTGCTTGTCACCTGGACAGCTCCAAGTGCCACACTCTACTGGAAGTATCCGGAGTATTTATTTTTTCAACAATGTGTCATGGTAGCAAATGCCTGGGAAGCCAGCTACTGATCACGAGGGTTCAGGTGCACTTTCTCTAGGTGCTTCCACCTGCCACACCTTCGCTAAGTGCTTTGCATGCATTTCCAGCAAGTCGGTCACTCAGTAAATACTTTCAGAGTCCCAGCTATGTCAGTGAGTCAGGTCTAGGCGTTGGGGACAGGATGGCGAACAGGACAGACATGGTCCTGGCTCTGAAGGGAGGAGACCACTTGCAGGCATGATGAAACATGATACAAAGTATCTAGTGAAGATGCAAAGGAAAGAAAGCAAAGAGTGGCATGTGAAACAATGTCCCCTCAAAGTTGCTACTTTCTAACACCTGGAACCTAGACTTTTTGCTTTTGGTTTTCTTTTGGGGGGGGGTGGAGGTAGGGAGGAGTGGTTTTTGCTTTTTGGTTTTTGTTTGTTTTGTGACAGGGTCTCACTTTGTAGCCCAGGATGGTCTCAAAACCCATATTCCTCCTGCCTCAGGTGGAGGATTCTGGAGGGGAAGGGGGAGCACCACCTCACCTGGCTCTCTGGAACCTATGAATGGGACCTCATATGGCAAAATCTTTGCAAGATGTGATCAAATTGAGGATCTTGAGGAAATGATGCTAGATTATCCAGCTGCGACTTAAATGTAAGAGAGAAAAAAAGAGACATTTCCTGTTCCCCATGCAGGAAATGGGAGCAAAAGCTCCCAAAAGTGCCCTTATAAGAAAGAAGTGTTAGCCAGGCGCTGGTGGCTCACGCCTGTAATCCTAGCTACTCAGGAGGCAGAGATCAGGATGATAGCGGTTCAAAACCAGCTTTGGCAAATAACTCCGTGAGACCATATCTCGAAAAACCCTTCACAAAAATAGGGCTGGCGGAGTGGCTCAAGATGAAGGCTGGTGGAGTGGCTCAAGATGAGTTCAAAACCCAGTGCCAAAATAAATAAATAAAAATAAGAAAGAAGTGATGGTACCTACCTACAATCCCAGCACTGGAGAGGCTAAGGCAGGAGGATTGTGAGTTCAAGACCAGCCTGGGCTACATAGGAAAACTCTGTCTCTTAAAAACAAACAAACAACAACAAAAAAAAAGGGAGGGAGAGATACTAGGAGAGAGGAATAGAAGAAGAGAAGGAGGAAGGGAGGGAGAGCCATGTGTCATGTAGAAAGGCATGTGAAGATGGAGGCAGCGGTTGAAAGAGAAAAGGAATGGACCTATTTGTCCAAAATCCAAATAGGTCCAAAATCGGGACCTATTTGTCCTGGCCTAGACTTTAGCTTCTGGCCTCCAGAGCTGTGTAAGGGTAATTGTGTGTTGTTTGAAGTCAGCCAGTTTGTGGTCACTTGTTACAGCTGCCTCAGACCACTCATGTAGAATGAGAGGATGGAGACCAATTCTTTTACATGAAGTGGTTGCTTCCCAGGGCCTGTCTGGGGTCAGGTGTCTGGGGAGAGACCTGAGTGGAGCTCAGAACCTAGTAGAAGAGCATGGTGGTGCATACCTATAATCCCAATGATTTGGGAGATGGAGGCAGGAGGATCATGAGTTTGAGGCCATCCTGGGCAAACTTAGTGAGACCCTATCTCAAAAACAAATGAACAAAAGGACTGGGGGCATGGCTCAAGTGATGAAGCATGCAGAGGCCCTGGGTTCCAGCTCCAGTACTAAAAAAAAAGCACACACACCATGAACATCTGGGTTCTAATTCTGACTCCTTCAATGGCTGTTTGCTCTGGGCCTCAGTTTCCCCAGTGCAATTTTTCCTGCATATAGCCCAGTAGTGGGGCTGGGAGGGAAGGGGTAGACCACCATATTGCCAGACCCAAGATTCAGCCAAATAGGGGGCCACATGTATCACCTCTTCCTGCCATGGCTCTCTGGTGAAATGCGGCTCCCATCTGAGCTACCATAATCAGCTCATGGGGAGGTCTGCCCCTCCCCATGCTCTAACACCCTCCATGGCTCCCTTCTCTCCACCTGGCATCCAAACACCTCAGGAGCTCACCCCTGTCCACGCTCCACCTCACCCTCAAAGATCCCCTTTCTCAGTCTGCTTTGGACCCCTCTTTGCTTATTCAGTTTACAAATGTTGGGTTGCTCGTACTTCCTGGGGACCTCATGTTCTCCCATGGCTTCAACATTCTCATCTCTGAGCCAATTTCTGTCTCTGTGTCCCCCTGGTAGACTCAACCACCTCCCAGATATCCCCTGAGGGCATCTCCCAGACCCCCAGATCCACCTCACTAATTATTGAGGTCCTGTCCTCTTGTCCTACACATCACTCATGTCCACCCATTCTTCTCCATCCCCATAATCCCAACCCACATCAGGCCATCCTGGTGGTAATCTTCTCCCACTGGGATCCAGAATTCCACCTTTGCTCCCCACCACCAGCAATCCATTCTACACAGAGAGGGTAAAACGGATAAAAATTAAATCAACTCTGCCAGAGGCCAGTGGCTCACGCCTGTAATCCTAGCTACTCAGGAGGCAGAGATCAGGAGGATCATGGTTCAAAGCCAGCCCAGGCAACTAGTTCTCAAGACCCTATCTCAAAAATTTATCACAAAAAAAGGCTGATGGAGTGACTCAAGGTGTAGGCCCTGAGTTCCAGCCCCAGTACTGCAAAATAAAATAAAATAAAATAAAAACTAAATGAACTCATGAACCTCCCTGCTCAAAATCCCCCCATGACACTTGGAATAAAATCCAGACACTTGGCATGGACCATGATACCCTTCAGGCCTGGCTCTCTCCTCTCTCTTCTTCACTCACCCATCTCTGACCCCTCTAGCTCACTCCAGCCACAGACCAAGCCAGTCCCTAGCTAGTAGCCTTTGCAAGGGCTGTTCCCTCCACTCTCACACCTTTTGTCCAGCTCCACCCACACCAGCTCTTCCTCATCCTCCAAATGCCACTCTGCCTCCACAATCAGTAAACACCCCTCCATCAGAAATGACTGCAGGTGATGACTTTCACAATCGCTAGTTTCATCTTCCCAGTAGTTTTACCAAGAAGCTGGGAGACTGCTGAACTCCACCCCCACCAAGAAAAATCCCAGCTGAAATCCCAGCCAAGTAAATGTCTTCCTGAGGGACTGAAATGGAAGAACTTGGGACTGGAGTAAGCACAGGCCCTAGCTCTGGGCAACTGGTTGCCTTTAGGGAGGATACAAGAGTAAGGTTGGTAGGGGATGCTCTGAAGCCCTGGGTCCACTTCCCCTGAGTTCTATGTCAGGTGTGGGCTGAAGCCCTTCCAGGGGCAGACTCCTAGTTCTGCTCCTGAGGGAGAGAGAGACAGAGACAGAGACAGAGAAAGAATGCTGTGGTCCCAACTGGGACTGTCCCTGGGAGCTTCATAGTTCCCATCTAGAAGTCTGGCACTAGTGGCTCAGGCCTATAATCTTAACTGCTCAGCAGACAGAGATCAGTAGGATCACGGTTCGAAGCCAGCCTGGGCAAATAATTTGAGGCACTATCTCAAAAAAAAAAAATCACAAAAGGTCTGGCTGAGTGGCTCAAGTGGTAGAGTGCCTGCCTGGCAAGCAAGAGGTCCTGAGTTCAAAATCCGGAACCACCACCACCACAACAACAACAACAAAAGGGCTGGCAGAGTGGTCAAGTGGTAGAGCACTTGCCTAGCAAGTGTGAGGCCCTGAGTTCACATCACAGTACTCCCAAAAAAAAAAAAGGAGATTACTGGTGACTTGGGCCTGGGGGTGTGTGGAATGGGGTGTGATTGCTAATGGGGGAAACTAGGTAGAGATGGTGGTTATACATCATTGTTACATCCTCAGTGCCTCTGCATTATACACTTCAACATAGTTAATTTGGTACAGCACATGTTTAGCATGCATGAGGCCCCAGGGTCAATCCCCAACACCAAAAAGAAAAATTATATTAAAGTAAAATTAGTTAAAGTTAATTAAACTTTATTCTTAAGCAGTTTAAATTAAAACGAATTACGATAGCTCAATAAAGTGGAGACATGTTGGTGTGTTGGTAGCCCTTCCCTTTTCTTTTTCCTTTTTTTTTTTTTTTTAATGAGACTGGGGATTGAACTCAGGGCTTTATCCTTGCAAAGCAGGTGCTCTACCACTTGGACCACACCTCCAGTCCATTTTACTCTGGTTATTTTGAAGATGGGGGTCTCTGGAGCTATTTGCCCAGATTGGCCTTGAATTGTTATCTTCTCAATCTCAGCCTCCCACATAGCTAGGATTATAGGCATGAGCCACAGGCACCCAGCTTAGTTCTTCCCTTTCTGACTCTGTGAGCTGGTGACTTGTAAAAACTCAACAATCCAACTCTGGAATGCACACTCTTCTGTACATCTATTACACTTGAACTTGGAAAAATTACAAGCAAAATGAAAAATTGCTTGGGGATTGCATCATCCTTTAAAATCTTGAGCTTTGTCAGAGCCTGGTGGCTCATGCCTATAATCCTAGCTACTTAGAAGGCAGAGATGGGGAGGATCAAGGTTTGAGGCAAGCCAAGGCAAAAAGTTTGGAGAGCTCATCTCAAACAAAGGCTGGAGGCTGGCAGAGTGACTTGAGTGGTAGAGCTCCTGCATAGCAAGCAAAGGCCCTGAGTTCAATCTCAAGTACCATCAAAAAATAAAAAAAGGGATCTTTGACTTCAACAGGTCTGGGTTCAAATTATAGTTCTGCTTCTATGCAGATAAGCAGCCCAGGGTGTCCTAGTTCTGGTGCTCAGCCTCCATTCACCAGTCTGTGAAATTGGTTAATAATAACAGTGGGCAGGAGTGTAGGTAGTGGTAGAGCAAGTGTCAGGCCCCAATATCAAACTTTGGTACCATCAAAGAGGAAAAATTGAAAGGAAGGAAGGAAGGAAGGAAGGAAGGAAGGAAGGAAGGAAGGAAGCAAAGAAGGAAGGAAGGAAGGAAGGAAGGGAAGAAAAAGTAATCTTTTGCTGGGGCGTGGCTCAAGCAGCAGAGATCCTGCAATTGCAAGGCCCTGAGTTCAAACCCCAAAAATAATAACAAAAATAACAGCAACAGCCATGAACAGTGGTGCACAGTGGGATCTGTAATCCCAGCACTCAGGAGGCTGAGACAGGGGAATCATGAGTTTGAGGTCAGTGAGAGAACTTGTTTCAAAATAAAAATGACAAACTGGAGGTGTGACTCAAGCTATCGAGCACCTGCCTAGCAAGCACGAAGCCCTGAGTTCAAACTCCAGTTGTTCCCTCACTCCCCAAAAAAGCCAATATCAAAATAAAACTTATCACAGTAATAATCACAGCAACAAGCCCTTTCTGCTAAGACCATGGAGAGGTTCAGTGAAACCAGGCATAAAGAGGATTTGTCATATTGTATACACACATTAGCCACAAGTACTATTATTAAAACTTACTACTTTATGGAAGCAAAGGCACTCAAAGCTGGTGCTCTTAGAATTCTTTGAGAATGTGACATGTCTGTTCCCTCTCTACATCAGTGCCCAGTGCCATCCCTGATGCCAGGCAAGGCACCCAGCAGCCCCACCCTGGAAGAGGTGGCCCTGCAAGCCTGTCCTGCTGGACCCGCCTTATCTAGCAAGGGAGGTGCCAGAGCTCAGCCCTGCAGCGCAGTCCACACCCAGGGAGCTCTGGTTTGTCAGGTTGGCCCGGCCAGCTGCTAGCTGGGGACTTGTTATACAAGGTGTGTGGGCTTCACAGATGAAATACAAGACAGGGACCCTGGTTGGTGCCAGGCACTATATGTATGTGCCTCTTCTTGAATGCCAGGTTTGGGCCCAGGTGTGGCATATAGGAGTACCCCAAAGCTGGTCCCATCACCCCACATCCCAGCCTCCCACTGTACTCTGTCTTATCTTGTAGTCAATGCAACCTGACTTCCACCCAGACTTATGGTACTCCACCTTACTCCCTTGATACCAAAGTGCTGCCTCATCAAAGACTCGTGTTGCCCCCAGAAGGTTTGAGATGAGAGATTTACAGGTCTGGGTTCTCTTCTAGGTTCTGGGGTTCTGAAAAAAGCTTTAGAGGGGGGCTGACAAAGTGACTCAAGTGGCAAGAGTGCCTGCCTAGCAAGTGTGAGACCCTGAATTCAAACCCCAGTGCGGCTAGTCCCACCAATGCTTTGAAGCCTTAAGCTTTCTCATCCCAAAGGGCATCCTAGCAGAAAAAAGAAGCCTAAAAACTACCAGTAATCTAGATCATTCCTGGGCTGTAATCATCTCGGATTAGCACCCCAGATATGACCACACTTGCACATGAGCCTTAGAAAGGAGTCTATATAGCTCTACTTCTTAGTTGTGTGGCCTCAGGCAGGTGCCTCAACCTCTCTGAGCCTCAATTTCTTCATCTGTAAGAAAGGAACCATATTTCCTCATGTCTGTGATGACATGCAGCACTTTTAAAGTGCACAGCTCACTGACAGGCACACAGTAACCCCTTGATCAAAAGTACCTTTTGTTGCTGTTGGTGTTACCAACACGTACATCCTTGTTACCTGGACATCTGGGACTTGGAGTACAGGACCCAACGTTTGTCAGGGAAGAGAGATGGGGATTCCATTATCTTAGTGTCTCCCGGGTCATCCAAAACCCTCTATGGATACCAACCCAGGTCACTGCCAAGACACCAGCTCTGAGTTAATGTTACAGCTTAGAAACCCAAGCTGGGCTATACAGACTTGTCGGAGACATCAGAAAGTGGCCCAGGATTTTTGGGGTCAGACAGGGCTTGTATGTTCCAATCGCAGCTCCCCCATTGGGTGTCTATGGGTATGTGCTTCCTCTTTCTAGCCCTCTGTTCCCTCACCTGTAAAAAGAAGAGGATGGGCAAGAGTTGGGGAGTTTCCTCCACATCCAGATAGGCTGGCAACTCAGGAAGGAGTTTGATATTTCCAACTCCAGCTGGGCTCAGCTCCAACACCCAGAAATAGGGGAGGGGTTTCAGGGAAAGGGGCCTTCACGTATTGGGTGATGAGTGATGTCCCATGAAGGCATTACACAAGGAGAGTGGGCACACTCACCAGGTGAGATACCCTGAGCTCATGTACCTCCAGCCTGCCCACATGGAGGGCAGAGGTGGCCTCATTTTGATCTCAGCCTCTTTCTACCTGTCTCTCTCCCATCTCCAGCCAGAGACTCTCCCAGTGGTCCAAAGGGGTGCGGGCCAGGCCCTTAGGACACCTGATGGTATCTTTTAGCATCATTGGGACTGATTGCAGGACCTCACTCAACCCTCACAGTCAACTTCACGGGTCTGGAAGGCGATTTTCTTTTCATAGAAGGGTACTGAGAGACTGTAGCTACCACGAATGGACAGAGAGGGCCTGATGGAGGCTGAACCACAGGCATAAAACCACATTGGCAGGACTATGGGTACTCCTTCAAGAGAAAAGCCAGGGACCCCAATCAGACCAAGGAGGTGTAACTGCGCAGAGCTTTGGCCTTTCTGGGGTGCGCCGGCGGGAGAAGACCCCTCTCTCCATCACAGACACTCAAAGAGGAGATGCACCCCGGACTCCTGGGCGCACACGGGATTAAAAAAAAGCGCCCAAATGCAGCAACCGTCGGGGATGCACCCACATCCTCAGAGGGTCCTGGACAGACAGTGGCGGTGGTCCGGAAAGCCGGCTGTGCCCTGCCCCGCCCACCGCCGAGCGCAGACCTTGGCACCGAGCCCCGCGCATCTCGGGTTACGGCGCGGACCGCGGCCGCGCTCAGGTTACCGACCCCGGCGCGCACTCACCTCGCGGGTCTCGGCCTCCAGCCTTTGGTCCCGATCTTCGGTCACAGGCAGCCTCGGCTTTAACAACGCGGTCCCGCTGCTCAGCCCTTTAACCCCGCCCGGCTGAAGTTTGAGCCCAGCCCTCTGGACACGCCCCTGGGACGCTCCTCCCCCCCAGAACACGCCCCCTTGGGCACGCCTCCCACATAAAATGCCTTGACCACGCCCCCGGGGTACGCCTCCTCCAGGACACGCCCCCGGACACGTCCGAGGACACGCCCCCCAGGCCCAGCCCGCCTTTGGGGCCGGAATGGAAGCGTGGTCCCCAGAGATGGAGAGAATTAGAGAGGTGAAAGGGAGAGAGACAAGCTATGAAGAAGAAAGTGACTGATGGAAAGATGGCGACAGGTACAGAGACACAAAGACTTGGACACCTAGAAGCACAAACTATGAAATTCTCCATCCCCACACCCCTGCTTGGCTCCCATTAGCCCTCAGTTCCAGTTCTGGACCTACACTAGCGCCCCTCAAGGCTCCCCACTTTAGGGTTGGCTCCCAGGTTTGGACAATCATCATCTCTGGGACCCTGTTATTCCCCAGAAGCCTCCTCTTGAGCCCCCAGAAATTCTCAGACTCCACAAGCCCTGGGGAACTGGCTTTTCTACTTTCTCTGTCCCCCACCCCCAGATGTCTGCAGCCAGCAGCAGCAGCTGACCTCCAGGAAAGCCTCCAGCCTCAACAAGCAGCCTGAGACTACTTTGTTCCCCAACCCCCAGCCACACACCTTGACCCTCTCTCCAGGATGTCCTTGCCCGGCCCATCTGCTGTAGATGACAGACAGACAGCTACGCCCTGGGATGTGAGGCAGATACCACACACAGTGGGTTAGTGGGCAGGCGGGCAGGGGACTTGGGAAAGTGATCAGACACAGAGAAGTGTAAGAAATTCCACTTGCCCCATCTTAGACTGATTTTAAAATCTCTCTTCATTTCAATAGCGCTTTCTCACCTGGTGTTCAGCCCCGGGAGGGTGGGGCCCGCGTGAACATATTTTGAGATTAAGGAAAAGAGATACAAATAATTGACATTTTGTTGCTTGCAGGACTCTAAAGGGAGGCCAGGGAAGGCTACATGAAGGATGTGATATTTGAGCTGGGACTGCAGGAGAGGGTTAGATTTCAACATGTGGAGAGGGGGTGAGGCTCAGGCACAGAGAAACTACAAGGTGTGGTTTGGCAGGTGGCTTTCCCTGACCTGGGGTGTGAAAAGTGAGGAGGCTGAAGGAGTTCAAGGACTAACTGTGAGGGACTTTGAATGCCAGCCAGAATGGATGGGCAATGGGGAGCCACGAGTGGTGCTTGAGTGGGGGAAGAACCCCCTGTTGGTTGATTGGTTTTAAAGCACATTGAAGCTCATTGAATTGTTTCAAGGATATGGAATTAGTTTTGTTGCTAGCAAAGAGGAATTCTTTGAAGGACACTGGAGAATATAGAAATTTATAAGGGCAGATATATATATATATATATATATAGAGAGAGAGAGAGAGAGAGAGAGAGAGAGAGACAGAGAGAGAGAGAGAGACAGAGAGAGACAGAGAGAGAGAGAGAGAGAGAGAGAGAGAGATCCTTCCAATGACTTAAGGAGAGCAGGGGTCAAAAGTAGGGTAACTGAGACCTTAGAGAGAAACTGGATCTAAGGCCCAAGAAATCAGCCACATTGGTTACTGGCTGGATGTGAGGCTTTTGGAAACAGGAGAGAAAAGGGCATCCAGACAGTTTTTCTGTTCTCAGAGAGATGGAGACAAGGAAACGAACAAGTCAAAGGGTCTGGGGGAGAGGAGGCATTGACAGTGGTTTTCTGGCCATGTGGCCTTAGCTTCCATTCTCCTACAGAAGAAATGGAGGCTATAGCTGAAATGGATCATGAGACAAGAGGTCTCTGCAAGATGTTCAACTCCACACCTAGCACAGTGCACAGGCTGTACAAAAATAAGCTCTTTGAATTTTGGGGTTGATTTGGGCTAGTCTAGGGGTTTTCACCCAGAACAGATTTGAGCAATGTCCAGAGATACTTTTAGTTGTCACATTGGAGAAAGAGGGTGGAGGTCAAAGTCACTGTTCAACATCCTACAACACAAAGGATGCCTACACTTCAGAGAAAGAGTGGCCCGAGTGTCAACCTCAGGGTTATGACTGGAAAACCCTGGGCTTGTTACCTTCACTCTAAAATGATCATGCTGTGTTGAGGGAGACTACCAGGATGAAGCTGGCCATAATGTGAGGGCATCCATGAGAAGGACATCTGTGAGTCATCCTTATTGGGAAGATGGTGGACGCCATGGGAGTTGGTGAGTGAGGTCACTCATGGAGGGAGGTGAATGGACAGAGAAGAGGATGAAAGTATAGGTGACTGAGAATTTAGAGTGAGGTCAGGCAGAGGCTCAGAGCTGGAGGTGGAGATTATTTATCCAGAGGTGGTGATAATTTATCCAGAGGTTGAAGACTCTGGGCCCTATGCAGCTGTCTGGTCAGCAGGTCACAAGGCTCTAGTATCAGTAGGCCGAGGTCAGAGTAACATAGGAGAAAGCAGAGGCGGTGACCAGACTCTGGAGATGATGCAAAAAAGCCATGTGGACATGGCAGAGACAAAACAGGTCATCTGTCTGCAAAGGACTTTTCCTCGAACTCCTGAAGCTGACAGACAACTTTCTGGGGCAGAGTTATAAAAAAGGGAGATCTCATGCAATTGCTGAGGGAAATAACTTGGCAGGTCTTCAAAAATTACACCTAGGGGCTGGATATGGTGGCTCACATCTATAATCCTAACTACTCAGGAGATAGAAACTGAGAGGATCTCTGTTCTAGGTCAGCCAGGGTAAAAAAATTCTCAAGACCGTCATCTCAACTGGTAAGTCAGGTGTGGTGGTACATGTCTGTAGTCCCACTTATATGGGATACATAGGAAGGAGGATTGTGGTCCAACACCAGCTCCAGGCAAAAACACAAGACTCTATATGAAAAGAAAAAGGGGGGGGGGGCTGGAGGCATAGCTCAAGTCATAGAGTGCCTACCTAGCAAGTGCAAGCCCCTGAATTCAAACACCAGTACCACAACAACACAACAAAATTAAACATAAAATTACCATGCGACCCAGAAATTCCATTCCTAGGTGTAGACCCAAAATAATTGAAAACAGATACACATATTCACACATATACTTGTCAAGGAATGCCCATAGCAACACTATGCATGATTGCTAAGAAGAGAAAAAAATCCAAGTGTCTGCAAATGGATGGATGGAAGTGGTCCATCTGTACAGTGGAATTGATTAAATCATCAAAAATAGTGAAATTCTTTTTTTTGTTTGTTTTGGTGGGACTGGGATTTGAACTCAGAGCTTCCTGCTTGCAAAGCAGGAGCTCTACTGCTCAAGTTATGCCTCCAGTCCATTTTGCTCTGGTTATTTTGGAGATGAGGTCTGGAGAACTATTAGCCTGGGCTGGCCTCAAACCTTGATCCTCTCAATCTCAGCCTCCCAAGGAGCTAGGATGGCTTGCAGGTGCAAGTCATCAGCACCCAAGTAAGAATGAAATTCCCTCCCTCCTTCCTTTCCTTCCTTCCTTCCTTCTCTCTTTCTTTCTCTCTCCCCCTCCCCTTCTCCCTTCCTCCTTTCCTTCCTCCTTCCTTCCCTCCCCCCTCCTTTCTCTCATTTCATTTTTGGTTTTTAAAGACAGGGTCTCACTATGTAGCCCAATCTAGCCTACAGCTCACAATCCTCCTGCCTCCACTTCCCTAGGCCTGGGACTACAGATGTTACCATAACTGGCTCACCTCATACTTTTTAAAAGAAGAATCTATACTTGGGTGTATCTCAGTGGTAGAACACTTGCCTAGTGTGTGTGAGGCCCTGGGTGGAGGAGGAAGAGGAGGAGGAGGAGGAGAAGGAGGAGAAGGAGAGAAGGAGGAGGAGGAGATTCTGATATTCTGGCAGAAAACAACAGATGGAACTCACTCAAGTGAGGTCCTTTGAAGACAGTGTGATAAAAACACTATTATCAAAGCAATAGTGTAGCACCCTGGTGGTTAGATACAGTTAGTCACAGGACTTGGGGACTTGGGTTTAAGCAGTTACTGAAATCTGAGCCAGACAAGGCTATGTGGAGAAAGGACTGCCTTGCAGGAGCTGTGCCCCAGGGAAATATCCAACTTACATGAACCACACAGGAAAAGAGATGAGGTATGAATTCTCTAACCTCATTCTCCTCCCTACCTCCAATACCTGCTGTGGCTTCCTAGTGCTTGAACCCAAGCAGAAGCTACAAGGCAAATGAGCCCACTGAGTGTCCATATGGGTCAATCTCATGGGCCAGAGAGCAGGGGGTACAGGGGGTGGAGACAGGACAAAAGGTAGCAGATTTGAAGCAAAGAGAGCAGTGCAGAGGTGAGGATGAATGAGTGGGCAACAGCCCTTTTCAAATCAAGCTCTCCACTCTCCTCACCATCCACACACGCCTCTTGGGACCAAACCCACAGAGACCACCTCTGAGCCTTTGCACATGCTGTTCCCCCTGCTTGAAATTCTTTTCCCATTACCCGCTCAGCTAACTCCCATTTGTCCTTCGGATCTCGTCTTGACAACCATTTTCTCTGAGGGCTCAGCATCCTCAGCCCCAGGAAAATTGTTCTTGGAACCTTTTTTGGGGGGGGGAGATTAGGGTTTGAACTCCAGGGACTCACACTTGCAAAGCAAGCACTCTACTGCTTGAGCCACACCTTCAGTCCATTTGGCTCTGGTTATTTTGGAGATGGGGGGGGTCTCACAAAATATTTAACCATGTTGGCCTTGAACCTTGATCCTCGCTACCTAATCCAAGTGGCTAGGATTACAGACACGAGCCACCAGTGCCCAGCAAACCATTTGCTTATGTCTGTCTGGATGGATGGTAGTCAGGTCACTACACAAGTGCATGTTTTTTTTTTTCTCATTCATTCCTGCCTTGCCCCAGTCCCAGCTGGCATTCAGCAGCTATTCATTCACCAAACGGTAATTTCCCACAAAGGCATTGTTCTACAGAACAAATGCATAGTCAAAAATGGCATATTCTACATGAAGTGT